TGGGATAGCATTAAGTAGTCTAACAGTTGTGCCATTGAAAGAGAGGATAGCATCCCACAGAAAAATAAAACAAGCATACGACCCAGTGCAGCGGCGTGCATCTTGCAGCGGAATGGACGGAGGCGAGGAAGCCTGGCACTTGTATCCGCTGACCACAAAGGGGAGGGGATAGGGCGTTCCACGGCTATCATGACTGCCAGCAAATGATACCGACGGGAATAAAGAGACAACGGATGAAGGCGTGGAGGAGTAAAACCTTTCCTGTTCTGATTTCATTTTGAACCTGTTTCACATACCCTTAAGGTGTATTTTAAGCCTCGTAGTGTTCTCCTAGCTAAAGCTGCTGTGTGACACAATGACATTCTGTTTTTTCTGTAAGATTTTCCTGGCATTGTTTTGGTCTAAAAGGGCGAAAAAAATTACAAACATCGGATGAAACCTAAGCATAATCTGTCCTAATATGGTGAGGTACGAATCGGTAGACCACACCTCAACCAGTTGTCAAATGGGCCCGGGGACCGTCGTTATACAATGTATCAAGAGGGGGGGCTGTGATCTGTGGCAGGGTGATGATGAGCTATCTGAAGCCCTTCCCACAAATGCAAAAGCTCTCCCAAGGCTGCCTGTCCCAAAAGTGCTGTCTGGCTTCTCTGCCAAAAATAATAGGCTCTCCCTACAGCTAACGGATTCTTTGGATGGCGATCTCTGTCAGCTGCTTGGGGCCAGTGTCACACACCTGTTGTTCCTGCTGCTGGCAGTTTCTTGAAGGTCTCCTTGAGATTCCGCTGATGTGTCTTTTGCCTGGGTAGGGAACTCTGCTGTAGCCAAGCTGATGGTTTTTAGCTCTAAGCTTATCTTCCCTTGTGGCTTTCTTGTCATTTCCCCAGTATGTGATTTCAAGCTTTTTCAGTTCTTGGGTAGATTTGCTCATTTGCTTAGATTCCAGAGTACATTTTTTTCTACTGCCTGCAGTCAATGACGTGGTATGCAAAAAAAAAATGTCTCTGACCTATTTTTTTTTCTTTAGTAAGGGAAACAAGAACTGTATGGAGTCTGAGAGATGACTCGGGAGTTAAGAGTACTGGCTGCTGTTTCGCAGGACCGAGGTTCATTTTCCAGAACCTAGACGGCAGCTCATAACCATCCTTAAATCCAGTCCTAGATCCAGTTACCTCCTCTGGGCTCTGCAGGCACCATGCATGTTAAGCAAAAATGCCTACACATATACATAATAAGAATAATTTTTAAAGAATTACGCCTTTAATCCCAGCACTTGGGAGGCAGAGGCAGGCGGATCTCTGTGAGTTCGAGGCCAGCCTGGTCTACAGAGTGAGTTCCAGGACAGCCTCCAAAGCCACAGAGAAACCCTGTCTCGAAACCCCCCCCCCAAAAAAAGAATTAAAGAATTGTTGTATACAGTAAAATTGATATAATTCAGATGGGGAAAGAGCCTCTATTTTGTTTTACATAATTATTGATTTTAAGTTTGTATTTAGACTAATTATAATTCTTAAAACTTAGTCTATGTTAAAACTGTACACACACACACACACACACACACACACACACACACACACACACACAGTGTCTGATGCTAGGAATTAAACCCAGGACGAGATCTTCCATACAAACATGTGTATTTATTTTTTTAAAGAAGTTAGACTATAGAACCCACAATTAGGCATCTTTCTGGACATGCTTTTATCTGAATAAGATACTTGGAGGACAGTGGATTGTAATAGTGACAGTTTCAGCGTTACAAGAAACCTGTGTTGATTTACCAATACCTTGTCAATTTGGTAGTGGTGTTCAGAATTAGCCTTGTTACAAAAGGGAAACACAACCACCAAAGCCTTAAGGGGAGCACTGTAGCCTGTTGGTGAGAATGTGAGTCTCAGCTGCACAAACCGATCTGTCTTACCCAAGTGTAAGGAATTTACAGAACAACTTATCAACAGTTTATCCTACAAGGCTGCCCAGAATTCTTTTTTATTGCATAACACATGCTTTTTTTAGAGGTGAGTGTTTCATTTTTTTTCTAAAGTGTTCTGAGTTTTAAAAAGTAAAATTTCTGCTGCCAGTTAATGTCAGAATTAAACTATTTATGATCAGGCCTCAGGAAAGGGTCAATGACGCAGGTGCAGAATCTTCCTACAACAGTGACTCAAGTCTAGAAAAAAACAGAGTGATGGAAGGTTTTGGTCCTGTTAGTAGACCATCATCCTTGCTTCTCTTGGGTAATCTTACCAATGCTGCAGACCATGGCTAAGTTTGATGACAGTCCACTGCTCCCAGCTTACCAAATGTAGCTGTCCTGGGAGCCTTACAGCCCAGAGTTGGATACTACTATGCTTTTTCTCTGGTTAACCCTTTCCAGTGGTGTGTCTGTGTGTGTGTCTGTGTGTCTGCATGTGTGTATATGTGTGTTTGGGTTTTTTTTTTGGGGGGGTGGACGGTTTGAGATAGGGTTTCACTGTGGCTTTGGAGGCTGTCCTGGAGCTAGTTCCTGTAGACCAGGCTGGTCTCGAGATCACAGAGATCTGCCTGTCTCTGCCTCCCGGAGTGCTGGGAGTAAAGGCACCACCACTGCCTGGCTGTGTATGTGTGCATTTTTGTATGGTGTGGTATGGTCTGTGTGTGTGTTTGTGTGTACATGTGTGTGGTGTGTTTGTATAAGTATGTGTGTGAGATCTGTCCACACACAATGGCCAAGAATCCAAGAATGAGAAGGGGCCAGCCTGACAACCTCCCTTCCAAGTGTTTGCTCCCAGTGACAAGCCTGACCTCCTATTTTAAAGGTACCGCCACCTCTCCCTAGCACCCCAGCTGAGGCGCAGACCATTAATTAACACAGGGGCTTTCAGGAATGGTTTAAGATCCAAACTATAGCAAATAAGAGCACAGGATTTTACCGAATAAAGGCAGAGATTCAGGCTTCATAGTTGGGGACTCAGGAGTACCAGATAGAGTGTGCTCCCAGGACATGTCGTGTTTGTCAATTGCATCCTGTAAAAGTCAAAGGTTTATTTTGTGTAATCGGTGGCCACATCTTGACATCTCAGTAGTTCACTTTTTAAAGCAAGCTTCCTTCAACTGTTTTTATGTCCAGGGTGTTTTACATGGGCAGCCACCCCCATGAACCACACAGGGTTTGACCTCAGCTGCTGCTCTCTACATTGCTGCTGCCAGGCAGTGAGTGACTGTGGGAGGAGCCACACTGCCCCGCTCAGCCTGTGATCACACACTTAGTGGGGATGTGTTCCCCCCACTTTTGCCAAGGGTCTCTGTGTAGTTGGAAGGTTTCTTGTCCCACCAGATCCCGCCAGGTCCCGTAGCCCCAAATAAACACACAGACATTATATTAATTATTTAACTGTTGGCCTGTGGATAGGGCTTCTTATTGGCTAGCTCTGTCTTAATTATTAACCCATTTCTATTAATCTGTGTATTTCCACGTGGTCTTCTCTTACTGGAGAACACCTGGTGTGTCCTTTCCTCCCGGCCCTTACTTGGGCACTCATTTGGCGGGCTCCCTCTACCTACGTTTCCCAGAATTCTCCGCATCTCCTAGCCCTGCCTATGCTTCCTGCATAGCCCATCAGTGTTTTACACATCCACCAATAAGAGAAACATGCATACAGAAGAACATCCCCCATCATCTCTGGCTCCTAGTCCACTTCCTTGTCCTACTACAGGTTACACATCGTTTTTATTCACTACCTTATCATCTCCATAGTTGATTTTATAAAATTATGATATATTGTCTTTTTTTTTTACAACTTTAAAAGACATGGCTATAACACTTAACATCTTAAGCCTTTGCAAGTATAGTCCCGTGTTACTAGACCCAGTCCTAATACGCAACCACCACCATCACAGATCTCTTTGCATATTGCAAAACTGAGACCCTCGTCTCCTGGAACAGCCTTCTGTCTCTGTGAATATGGCTGCGATCAGTACTCACGTAAATGGAATTGCACACGCGTTCCTTTTTGACTGGCTCGCTTCACTCAGCACAGTGCCTCACGTTGACGCCATGCTGAAGCATGTTTCAGAACGCCCTTTCTAGTGCGCTCCCCACCGATGGGCACTGAGCCCAGAGCCTCGCACGTGCTAGGAAAGCGCTCTGCCACTGAGCCACAGTCTTCAAAGTACCACCCCATGTTCTACCACACCGTATCCATCTGCCCTCTGATGGCCACATGCTATTGTGCACGAGCGTCCAGATGCCTCGCAGAGTGCCCGTTTTCAATTATTTTGGGCTGTGCTCCAGAAGGGGAATTTCTGGGTTATGCGGTAACACACCTTTTAAAAAAAATGAGTTTTGAGGGACTGTAGTAGTTTCCCAGGGAGGTGAGCCATCTGCTGTACTCCACCAACCGCACCCAAAGCTTCCAGTCTCTTCCGAGTCGTCGCCAGCACTCTGTACCTATTATCTGCCTTTCCTCAATAGCTACGCCAACGGACGCCTGTCAGCTGCCTTCTTACCTCTTTGCCATCCTCTAAGTCACTTTTCAGAAGCAAGCTCCAGTGGTACCCATTTCTGCTGACAGATGTAACCTACCATTGCGTGTGTGATGAGTATTTTTAAAATTCTTGTTAATGAGCTAGGCGGTGGTGGCGCACGCCTTTAATCCCAGCCCTCGGGAGGCAGAGGCAGGCGGGTCTCTGTGAGTTCGAGGCCAGCCTGGTCTACAGAGAGAATTCCAGGACAGCCTCCAAAACAATACAGAGAAACCCTGTCTTGAAAAAACAAAACAAAAACAAAAAAAACTTCTTGTTAGTGTTCATATAGCTATACAGAATCATTATGAAGTGTGGGGGAGAAATGGCCCTCCCCAAGTGGAGCTCATCCTGTCAATTCCCTCCTGAAAGCACTCACTGCTCCCCGTTGACACAACCTAGATTCCATTTTTTTTGTTGTTTTGTTTTTGTTTTTCTTTTTTCCCTGTGACTTTACATGGGCACCCGGTTTCATTCAGTTGCTGTTCTTCCCACAGAAAATCCATTCCCCGCTGCCGAAGAATTAACAGGATGCTCTCCAATGAGTCCCTGCACCCTCCTACTTTCAGCCGCTCCAACTCTCAAGCCTCTGTCGACAGCAGCACATCGGTGGAGGAGTTCTGGAGGGAAATCGAGAGTATTAAAGAGAGTAGCATCGTGGGGGCCCAGGAGGAGCCGCCCGCCACGCCCACCACGCCCACCACAGAGGTCAAGCCTGTGGATGGTAAGAGGCTGGCCCTACCCTGTGGGTTTCCTTAGGGTTTCCTGTTGGGGAAGAAGTCAGCCCACCAAGTATCTAATCAGTAGAGGTGGGAGTAACTTCAGCGAGGGAGGGCAAGCCTTGGAATCATCCAGATAAGAGTCCTTTGGTCTCCCTGCTTGGGAGTGGTGTTCCCTTGGGGTGGGCTCCTTCTCATCAAACAGTCTGGTCACGGTGATGCTCTTGACATTTACATCTGTGTACTTGACATTTAGGGGAGCGAGAGAGAGAGAGCGGGGAGGAAGAGAGGAGGCAAGAGGTTTGCCTTAATGATTTTAGAGGGAAACGTTTCTAACATTTGTTGCCATTAACATATTTGGACTGCTTGGTATTCCACAAAGTAACAATCTTGTTAAGCATTGAGGGCGGAGACAAAACCCAAAGCAAACAACAGACAACGACAAACAAGCGAAAAAGAGCATAATGGTTCCTGGCTCTCGGGATCCTGCGCTGAAAGGACAGCCCAGCGTGTCCTGCCTGGCTTGACCTCGTGGGTGTATAAAACGCCCAGAACTGTTTCATCAACCAGCAGCTAATCTTAAGACGGCTACCTGCTTAAGAAGCCTTCTCAACCTTCATCCTCCTGTCTTAGTCTTTCCCAACACCAAGACATGGTCATTCCTAAGTAGTCAATTAGAATCCCATGCACAGAAGCAGGAGCCCTCACACTGTAGTTCATGAGCGTCTGTCTCAGGAGACGGTTCTCCAGCAGCGAAGTGTGCGGCGTGTATTCCTGTTGCTCCTATGTTTGCTTCCGTTTGCCTTTTTACCTTCTCATGCAGACATTTGAAGGAGAATGCTTCTTGTCCCATATCCCTGCTTGGTTTTTTCCTTCCTAGCAACCCGGTAACCTCCAAGTCTATCTGAGGCCTCGGGGTTTGCTGGCATTCTCTCCTTATAAAGTAACTCCCTTACATGGCGAGGGATAGGGCTCTTACTCCCACCATGGGTAACCCTTACCATTTGTTCAAGCCCCGGCGGCCGTGAGAGATATTTTCTGCTATCCTAAACTGCTACAAAATGCAGGCTCACTATCTAGAGTCAATATTTATTTGCAGGTGTCCCTTTGAAAGCAATTGTCAAGATGAAAAGATCTTAAGTGTGCACAATTCAGTGGCCTTTGGTGAAGGCAAAGGCACGCCCTCCTCTAACCCACGTGGGTCAAGACTCATTTTGTCAGGTTGTGCCACGCATGTCTATGATCACAGCACTCAGGGGGGCCGAGGCAGGAGGATGACTAGTTTGAGGCCAAACTGTGTTGTGTAATAAGACCTTATCTCTCAGAGAGGTGGGGGAGGGGGTGGAGTGCATTCAACCAGAAGACTTCCTGTCCATCCTTCTCTGTCACACCTCCCCCAATGACAGTCTAGGGCCAAAGGTAGCCACGGTTCCCATGTTTGTGTGTCATAGGGTTTATGTGACTGCACTCAGCATTCATGAGATTCAGGTAGAATACCAGTAGGTCATTGCTTTTCGATTTGGGGTGGTTGGCATTTGTTTCTAGGGATGCATTGAGAAAGTACCACAAAACTGGGTGTGTTTTTTTTTTAACGATGTAAATGTATTCCTTGCGGTTTTGGAAGGTAGAACTAGAAAGCCAGCTGGGTCTTGCCCTCTGGAGCTGTCAGGAGAGCCCTGTGCTGCTGCTTTCCTGGTCTGGATTGAAGCTGGTGGACACTGGCGCTCTTGGCTCTGTATAGGCGGCGTGCTGTGCCGTCCCCCGCCTCAGACCGCTCCAGGTGTTTGTACCCGTGTCCTTCTCTTCTTCAAAGGTGCTAGCTGTTATGAATTAAAGGCTCACTCTATCCCAATATGGCCTTTCTGTATTTGTTTTGCCAGGGGTTTGCTTTGGGTTTTGCTTTGCTATACTTTGCGTGGAGCCCAGGGCTGGGCAAGTAAGTACTCTGCCACTGAGCTATATCTAGAGTGCAACTGCATTTGTGTGTGTGGGGGGGGGTACAAGTGTGTGTGTGTGTGTTTTAGAAGCTGTCCTTTCTTTCATTTTTAGTTTTTATCTTTATTGACGTATGACGAGTCAATTGAAGTTGAACATTTTTATGATAGGCATGTTTTAATGAATACATTCAACCCACAATTTATCTGCAAATGTCGTTTTCCTGACACCATGTCTACACTCGTGGTGCTGAGGATGGTGGTTCCAGCAGACGGTGGGGGATGGTTCAGCTCTTCACAGCGTAGTCCTCTGCAGGAACACATCAGTCATCGTGATCCGACAATGGCATCATAGATTCACTTTGATTACAGTTTTAAGCACTTGAAAATGGGTGATTTGAGAAACCTTGTTGAATGTATTTGTGGGGCAACATACATTTTTATTTCTCTCAGATACACAAATTTTTATTAAGTGTGTTTAGCTATAAGAAACTGCCAGGATTTTTCCAAAGTAATTGTACCATTTTACACCTTTCCCTACAGATTAAGACTGACTTCCTTTTCTTCCAAATCTTTGCAAAGTTTTATATTATCAATTTTATTTCTATTTTAATTTAAATTAGAAACAAGCTTGTTTCACATGTCAATTCCAGCTCTCTCTCCCTCTCCTCCTCCCCGCCCCCTCCAGCCCTCCCAACCCCCCACCCGATCCCCACTTCACTCCCCAGGGAGGGTGAGACCCTCCATGGTGGATCTCCAGAGTCTGTCACTTCATCCAGGGCAGGGTCTAGGCCCTCCCCCCATGTGTCCAGGATGAGAGAACATCCCTCCATGTGGAATGGGCACTCAAAGTCCATTCATATGCCAGGGATAAGTACTGATCTACTACCCAAGGCCCTATAGATTACCAAGGCCTCCTCACTGACACCCAAATTTAGGGGGTCTGGATAAGTCTGTTTCTGTGGCTTTCACTAGCCTGGTCTTGACCCCTATGCTTATCACTCCGCCTTCTCTGTAACTGGGTTCCAGGAGTTCAATTCACTGTTTAGCTGTGGGTCTCTGCCTCTGCTTTCATCAGCTACTGGATTAAGGCTCTAGGATGGTATATAAGGTAATCATCAATCTCATTATCAGGGAGGGGCATTTAAGGTAGCCTCTCCACTACTGCTTAGTTTGCCAGTTAGTGTCATTCTTGTAGATCTCTGGAAATCTTACTAGTGCCAGATCTCTCCTCAAACCTATAATGACTCCCTCTATTATGGAATCTCTCACCCTGCTCTCCTCTATTCTTCCCCCAACTCACCCTTCCTGCTCCCCCATGTCCTCCTCTCAACTCCCCTCCCTTTTCCACCTCTCTTTTTCTCAACTGCCTCTCCTGATATTATCAGTTTTCTTAATAGGAGTGATTCTAGACATGTGCAAGTGTCTTATAGTCTGATTATGTGGCATTGATGATTAATGGTGACTAATGATGTGTTCCCTGTGTTTATTTTCCTTTTATGCACTTTGTGAAATTTCTCAAGTATTTGAAAGCATTATCCTTTTGTTACTGACTTGTAGGAATTTTTAATGCGTTCAAGATGTGAGTGTGTGTGTGTGTGTGTGAAGCATGCATTGCAAAAGCTTCTATGACTTAACTATTCATATTCTTTTTAAAAGATTTATTTTTATTTTGTGTGTATAAGTGTATAAGTGCTTACTCCCATGTATGTGTGTGAACTGCGTGTGTGACTGGTGCCTGTCAGGCCAAAAGGTTGTGGAATCTTGTGGACCGGCTGTTGCTGGAGGCAGTAAACTACAGTATAGGTGCTGGGAACCTAACCCAGGTCCTCTGGGAAAGCAGCAAGTGCCCCTAACCACTGAGCTGTCTCTGCAGCTTCCATTCATCTTCTTAATGGGAGCCTTCAATTGGGCCTCTCTCCTTGCATTGTTTCAGATATTTGGAAATATAGCTGTTGTTTTGAATCTTGGCCTCATATCCCTTCAGCTTCCTAAATTCATTTTCTAGTATCGCTGCAGCCACATTGTATATCAGGGCTTGAAAAAATGACTTTAGCCAAAAACCAATGTAAATTCAAGTCATACTAGTACACTACCTAAATAGAAATTTAGGGTTTCTACCTCTCCGGTTCCTGCCCTTGTTTGGTTCTTTTCTGATATCTCTATATAGTTATTTCATGTGTTTTATTCCAAGCTTGTAACATAGTGCTGCTTTGATAAACATGACACTGACTCCCATGGGAGGTTGGATTCCTGTTTTAATATGTGTCTCCAACGCCCTTTCTGTGGAGCCAGACTTGTGGTGTGAAATGCTGCACGGGATAGGTAGCTTGTCTTAAAAGTTAGTGTTTGGTAATTCATCAATTTTATGACTCGCTATAATAGTATCCAAGATTATATTTTTCATTTGAAGCTTAATTAATCAACTAATTAATTCAACAAGTGTGTGCCCCTTCCCTCAGCTAGGCGCTCCACCAGAAGCCGGAAGCATTCCCTTTCCATGAACTTGATCTAACAGGAAGAAAGGGTTGGGGGTTGGGGGGGTGGGATTTAATAAAATGAGATAAAGACGGGAAATTACTTGAAGGAAAAGGAAATAGAATTGGGGCTGATGTCAGTAAGCCATTACCTGTCTCCTGGGTTCAGGAGAAAGACTTCATTGAGAGAGAAGCTTGGGTCTGAAAGCAGGCCAGTAATGACGGAGCCGACGATGACTGGCCCGTCCAGTCCAGATGTGGCACGGAGGATCCCACAGGTAGCCTGGGGAACAGGTGAGGAGATGCCGCGTAAATAAATACACATCGCGGGGTTGGGGATTTAGCTCAGTGATAGAGCGCTTGCCTGGCAAGTGCAAGGCCCTGGGTTCGGTCCTCAGCTCTGGAGAAAAAAAAAAAGACAAAATAACAATAAATACACGTCGCAGAACACATTAAAGCCAGGGAGAGAAGACGTTTCTATTTACATCTACAAGGACTCATTTGGTGACAGCCGTGGGACATGGTTTGGAGGCATCTAGGAAGAGCCCTTGGGAGCCTGCTGTGGGAGTCAGGGGGCGGTGGCGGCTTTGACAAAGACCGTGGCAGAACAGATAAAGAGAGGCAGAGGAAGCGAGGGCATCAGTAGTGCGTTCCTGTACTACAGAACTTGAAGGGCTGAGGCAGGAGGATGGCAAGCTCAGGGCTAGCCTGGACTGCACAGTGTGAGAACATACATCAGCTATGTAGAGTACCGTGAAGGAAGGAGGTTGGGGCATCTTGAGACGTGACAAGGACATAATATAAAAAGCCTTGGCAGTGCGCTGGAGTCGGTTCCTCTGAGGCCACTCCTTTGCTCCATTAGTTGGTGATGGGCTTTGCATATGGAAACGTGGAGGAGTGGCAGAGGACCAGGGTAGGGGGTTGAAGGTGGTGAACTCAGGCTGGAACGTGTTGAATATTGATGGGAGATGCCATTCTGTAAATCTGTCTCTTATCGGTTGTTGAATAAAGCACTGTTGGCTAATAGGGAAGCAAGATAGGTGGGACTAGGAGTCGAGGAGGATTCTGGGAAACAGAAACACAGGGAGTCATGATGTAGCCACCATAGGAATGAGAGGTCCGGACCCCTTTCTCCAGTAAGAGAAATACTTAGATTAACAGTTATGGGGTAAATACTTAAGTCAGAGATACCCAGTAAGAAACCAAACAAATGGCCAACAGCTTCATAATTAATATAGCCTTCTGTGTGTTCATTTCGGACTGATGTGGCTCTGGAACCAGGCTGGTGGGAAGGCTGCACTCTACAGAATATAACATGATTAATAGAGTCAAACGGATATTTAGTAGGCAATTGGATGCATGGGGCATAAAATCATTGGGGGTATTCAGGGTTGATGTACACGTGGCAGCTGGAAGGGAGAACATTGAAGACTTCATTCTTCCTAAGTCAGCAAACGAACCCCACCGGTGTCTGCTATGGGTATTTCTCACCACGGAAAGCATCCTAGCTATGTTCTGCCCTCGGGAAATGTCTGAGGTTTTCAAGCCGTCAGTTCCCATGATTTGTGTTGGCTCTGTTGTCCTTTTCCGCTATCCTTCTTTCGTTATTCCTCACATCCAACCTTTACAACATTAATACATTAATGTTTGTTTACATTTCTGACTTCGTCTTGAGACACGGCAGCCTTACCCAGTACTTGCGTAAAAGAATCCCTTCCGAGTCATCCCAGGTTTGACCTCGCTCTAGTCCCATTATGGCAGTCCCACATGGCAGCTGGTATTAACTCACCTTTCATCTCTGCTAAAGGGACGGCTTATGGAGCAACCAAGTAGTAAATAAAATCCTTGCCAAGTTAGGAAATGGGACTCTGAGAGCACATTCAGCTCGCCTGTTTATAGAGGGATGGGTGCAACCATGTAAGCAGAGCTCAGGACTCCTAGGCTGTGGCTTTGAAACGTGTTTACACGTCAGCCTCATCTGCTTATCAAACAGCCCCCGTTGGTGATAAGCCTGCTTAGCAGAGTCCCCAGGGAAGTGTGTATGCAGTGGCTTTTCTGCACAGGGTATGTACTCTGAGTCCCTTTAACTTTCCTCCATTTCGTTTACTAATCCATGCTTACAGATGAACCTCGGGTTTTGAGTCGCTTTCTGAGAAATAGATTACGTCATGTTCATAGCGTAAGGGAAATGAACAGCCATTAAATGTTTTACGCCAGGTTCTTTGCCAAATTCATAAGTAGTTTCTCAGGAAGGTATCCTGGTAGCTAGCTGCATGCTAATTGTATGGCTATCCCTATTGTGGTAAGTGCCTCTAGCTGGGCACTGTGTTCTCTCTCAGGAAGGTGGCTATACGCTGCGGCCCTGCCCTGATGGAGCTCCAGGGTGATGGGTGTGGATGCCATGGGCCCACGGGGTACTTCTTCGTCTCGGCGGGTGGCTTGGTGGCTAGGGGTCCACAGGAAAATAACATGAATACTTGTTTCTCTTTGCGGATTCCCTTGTGCTCTGGGTTGACTTATGTCCAGTTTGCTGGTCAGGGGTTGCAAGGACGTAACAACACCACAGACATGTGGCTTAACAGGAATAGTTTACTACCAATAGACCCTGGGAGAAAGGGTTGGGACATCTTCCAGGGTTAAAGGGAAGAGGAGAAGGCATCCAGGACCCTTATACTCAACCAGTGGATAGAGGGGAATCCAGAGAGAGCGGGATTACGGTATCCATGGGACAAAGCCCTAATTGGGGTCCAGCACTCACATGGATAGGTTTAGAGCAAGCGAGGGTATGACTGAGGTGGGCCCAGCAGCAGTGTGTGTGTGTGCAGTCAGCGGGGACAGTCTGCTAGGCTGCCTCCAGCCATCCCACAGGACATGGCCAAGGTAAGAAGAGCACGAAGGCAGAGAAAGCTGAAACTCTGTTGGTGGTGACTGAGCCCCACTTGTGAGAGGAGAGCACTGGCCCTGTGTTCACGGTTGGTGCTGGAACCACACAATGGAAGGGAAATGCACAGTGCCCATTTGCTGAGGGGGAACAAGGGACTGGAGGCATTTTTTTTATGTCAGTCGGCTGCAAAGTGGTGGATTGGCAGCTGCTTTTGAGTGGCTGCTATACCATGCTTTCTCCTGTTAGGATTTTAGCCAAAATGATCATATTTTATCTTTTTTGCTTTTGTTTTGTTTTAATTGGAAGTCCCATCCATGGCTTATCTCTGACCTTCTAACAAGGGAAAGTGCCTTTCTTGGTTGCCACGTAACCTTGCTGTCCTGGGCAGCCTTACTTGATTTTTGCTAATGTTATAAAAGAGTACAGACTTTCCATTTATTCTTTCATAGTTATTGCAGAAGAAAAGGCAGTCGTAGCTGGCCGTGGTGGTACCTGCTGCAGTCCCAGCAATTTGGAGGTAGAGGCAGGAAGATCATGAGTTCCAAGACCTTGTCTTGGAGCAACAACAGAAAGATAACCATATGTTTCCCTGATGATCCCGAGCATCTGGTATATCCAGAGGTTCGTTGCATGCACCACAGGTCCTCTAGAAACGATCTAACCTCCCCTTGCCCGTGCTGTTTCCAGAAGGAGAGCTTGAAGCGGAATGGTTACAAGATGTGGGATTGTCAACTCTAGTCTCCGGGAATGAAGAGGAAGACGGCAAAGCGCTCCTGTCGACGCTGACTCGGACCCAAGCAGCTGCCGTGAAAAAGAGATACAACACGTATACCCAGACGCTGAGGAAAAAGAACAAGCAGCCCATCAGGGACGTTAGAGATGTCTTCGGAGTCAGCGAGTCTCCTGTATGTAGTGAGCATGGTTCCAAAGGCGTTTGCTTTGATCTCAGGGCAGGAGGGTGTGACAGAGATGGGGAAACATCTCAGACGAGGCTGGTCCATCCTAACTCCCAGAGGGAGCTAGAGCCAAGAGCACAGACTGGAGCCTGAGTAATCAGTCATTGTCTCCATGGCTGCCCTTCCCTGCTCCCCAAGTTTACATCCTTCTATGTTGTTGAAGTTGCAACTTCCTTGATAGCAGAGAGTGAACCTGTAAAGTTGGGAGGCTCAGGGCCTTCCCTGAAGCTCAGCCTTGAATGGAAATTCTGTGCAAAGCACAGGGGCCCCCAGGGAAATAACCCCGAGGCCTTCGAAGTCCAAGTGGGTTATCTTAAATGCTGGTAGGGAAACGAATATAGAGTAACCTCTAGGTTCAGAAATGTTATGATAAAACTAGGAAACATGAGAACCAATTAAATGAATGATCAAACACAGGGTTAAGTATCATGGCTCTTATGAGACATGGCTGACTGAAGTTCCACCTTGTCCATAGCAGTTCTGTGGCCACAGTTTCACTCCTGGCACCATTAGTCACACACACACACACACACACACACACACACACACACACACACACACACACACACACCATTTCTATGTCAGCTTGACTGACAGATAATTCTTTCAGTGTACTTCCTCTTTCTTTCATTGAACCGTTTCAAAGTTTCATGACAGTGTGTCCTGGGACAAGAGATGTTTATTGAATGAATTCTATGTGCACGATCCCTTCCCCAATGCTATCCAGGGAGGATTTATGGGACTTTGGGTTGAAGAGCATGGCCAATAAAGGAAATTTGGTGTGTGCTGCCGCAAGGGAACTTGACATTCTGCCTGAGGGCAAGTCAGTCAGTCAGTCTGATTTATGTTTCACGTCTGTTCCATTGCAGCTCCTATCATGACATAATTTAAGGCATCCAGGATGTTAGGCAGTGTCTTAGTTAGGGTTTCTATTGCTGTGAAGAGACACCCATGACCAAGGCAACTCTCATAAAAGAAAGCATTTAATTGGGGCTTACTTACAGTTTCAGAGGTTCTGTCTATTGTCATCATGGCAGGGAGCATGGCACACTCGTGGCCCTGGAGCCACACCCTGATGTAGGCCAAGGGGAGATGTGCTAGATCTAGTGTGAGGTTTGAAACCTCAAAACCCACCCCTAGCTACACACTTCCTCCAACAAGGCCTCACCTACTCCAACAAAGCCACGCCTCCTAACCCTTCTAATCCTTCTCAAACAGTGCCACTCCTTGGTGACTATAGGAGTCATTCTTATTCAAAGCAACACAGATAGTAATCATGGATAAAGACTCCAGTTTGCGTCTTTTCAGGTTGCTTTTTTTTTCTTGGATATAGTCATCATAAAGGGTAGCTGTCAGGAAGCTTGCTTATACCTAGTTGACATATGCGTCTGTGATAATAACATCCTGGAATAACACAGACTTTCAGAACTTCTAGAATGTTAGCAGCCGTCTGTTTCTATTCTGTTTAATATGACAGCCTCATCAGGTTTGCAGCAAGCGGTGTAACTGGATTTGATACCCTGCACAGTCTTAGCGGATCTAAATCTAACCAGTCACATGTGACGTGTAGCTTGTGTGTTGGACAGCAGAGTGTTGTGTCGCCTGTGATGCTTTCACTTGCTGTGCCCTGTGAGCTCCATGACATTTGAATTTTTAGCTTATCTGACGCCCATGTCTTTCTGGGTGGAAGGATTTTTTTTTTCTCCAGCAGTAATTGAGTAAAGGTGACTTCTGCACCTTGAAGCTGGGAGCTCAGCCGCACATGTCCTGGCAAAGACGTCTGTCAATGAAAAGTTTGTCCTGATAGATTCAGCTTCCTGGATTGGCTTTCTCTTGTTTCCGGGATTGTCTCACGGTGGTCTCGAAAACTTTGCCCACCTGCTTTCTTGACCACATCTGTTTCCCACCTACGTCAGGCAAAGGTTTTGGCTCCACTCCAGCCAGCCGAGAGACAGAGAAGGTCTATAGGCTTCTCCTGACTCCTGTATCTGAAGTGCCTTCCACTGGTCCTGTCAGGGTACCGTTGAGAGTCTGACAGACCTTTAGGAAGTAGGGCCTGCCTGGTAGAAGTCGGCCACTAGGAGCAGGCCTTTGGAGATTATACCCACCCCTTCCTGGCTTGCCAAGAGCTGAGCAGGCTCTGCTGTATGTTCCTACAACCATAGCCGAGCTATCCCACAATGCCTTTCAATCCTCGATGGACTGAAGTCATGATGACAAATCAGGGTTTCTTCTTCAAATTGTTTCTGTTACAGTTTTGGCCATAGAGATGGAAGTAACCAACATGCTTAACACTTTGAATTTCTAAGCTGGGGCTGTGGTGGCACATGCCCATCACTAGGGAAGCAGAGGCAGGAGGATCTCTGTGAGTTTGAGGCCAGCCTGGTCTACAGAGTGAGTTCCAGGACAGCCAGGGCGACACAGAGAAGCCCTGTCTTGAAAAACCAAACCAAAGCAAAATAACAACAACAAAAACAAAAAGCTTTTGAGTTTCTAGCAACAATACAAAATAGTAAGATGCAGGGTTCTTGGTGGCCAGCCCCTTCTTTGAAGGGACAGAGGAAGTGGACACTTGTACCTTGGGTCTTTAAGTGTAAAACCTGAAGTTTTTCCTTGGGTACAATCAGCCGTGAACGGCTGCTCCCAGGCAGGCAGTGGCTCTAGCTCAGCACACGCGGTTAAGAGAGAGTGATGTCAGAGCCCTCCGTCCTCTCTGCCTTTGCCTTCCTCCTGAATTCAGTTACAGCCCAACTTCAGAGTGAAGTGGGGACAGGGACTAAGGTAAGAGGCAGGTAGCTGCAGGCAGAAGAAAGAGCCGGGAACCCTAGTATTGTGTGTGCCGCTTTAAAGGTCCAGGCCGTTCCTCGTCAGACACGTAAAAAACCACATAAACCTAGCCTTTGAAAAAAACACCTGCCTTTCCGTTATATAAGGTCTGAACTTTTCCCTAAAAGACTGCAACTTTTTTTGTGAGTAAAGAAACTCAGTAGCTTGTCAGGAATGCATTGGGACTTTTTAAACTTCCTGTTTTAACTTAATGACATAAACACCAATTCTCCTCCCTCCTCCTGCTCCGTGTCTGCCCTGGTTTGCTTCTGGCCGCTTTCCCTGCCTCCCTTCCTCCCTCCCTCTGCCGCTACTGAGTCTACATCCCCTCTTTCTCATCTTCCTCTTTCCTGTTCCTCCCTTCCTCTTCTCTTCTCTCTTCTCGTTATCTTTCTTTGGTGTCATTTGCCAACATCGAGTGAATATTTGCCTAAAATCTTCTGTTTCACTTTCTTAGTTTCTTTTTTATTTATATACCCATGTATGCCTGTGTGTGTGTGTGTGTGTGTGTGTGAGCGCGTGCATGCACACAAGCCATGTACGCGTGTGAATGTCTGCATGTGGGTACCTCAGTGTGCTGTACTTGTAGAGCTCAGAGGACAGCGTCCCTGAGTTTCTGCTACCATGTAGGTCCCAAGGAGTGAATTCAAGTTATCAGGCGCCTTCACCTGCCTGACATCTGTCTGTCCCTTAAATGTCTCAGTTTCAGTGAAGATTCTGTACGGATCTTAAATGTGTGATTTAACCCGTGTACTTAGCAAGTGACAGCAAGAATACAATTGTTTGAAAAATGGATGCTCAAATTATGTTAGTTTTCCTAAGGTTTCACACATAGAATTCCATGTTTCAGTTCCCCTTGCCTCGGAATTGCAAAGGAATCTTCAGTCATCTGTCACCGAGAAGATGCCATACCTACAATAGGGTAGACCTGCTCCTTTATTGACTAAAAGTAGAAGTGTTTTATATATATATATATATATATATACTTTTTATTATATATTTAAATTAGAAACAAGCTTGCTTCCCATGTCAGTCCCAGCTCCCTCTCCCTCCCCTCCAGCCCCCCACCCAACCCTCACTAGTGTTTTGATTTTCGTTTTTACTCTTGGGATTTGAAACTGCTCCAGCTCGACACTTCTGTGAAATTCACGTGCACTAAATGAAGACTTTGAGCACTAACAAATATTTAAACAATTCTGAATTCCTTTCACTGGCCATGCATGGTCTCCTGAGCCCCTGTTAAATGGTCCTTGGAATTGCACTGATCTCTGTGTCTCTTGATTCTTCTCTTTTGATTTACAGAGGGTTTTTTGTTTGTTTGTTTGTTTGTTTTGTACGTGTTTGTTTTTGCATTCTTCAAATCCCTTGAACCTGAATTTGTGAATGCCAGTACTTTGGCCATGTTTGAGTTTGTAATGGGAATTTAATTTTCAGAATTTAGTACTGACTAGTTTATGCCCGTTCTCCCTTCCTTTGATTTCTCTTTCATTATAGTGATCTGTTCTTTGGTGTGGTTGGTTTTGTGTACAGGGATTAAACCCGGGGCTCACACATGCCAGGGAAGCATTCCAGCCCCTGCCCAGCTACACCTATGTTTGTTTCTTGGCTGCAATAACCAGTTAGCACTCTGAGCACAGTAGCTCAAGCTTAACCTCCCAACGCCTGCTCCTTTCTGTGAGTGACTTCCTTCCGGGTGACAGACTTATTTTTAGAGCCATTGTTTTCCTCTTCCCATTGTTACTGTTGAACTGATTTTTTTCATCCCTGCCTGTTGGTGTGTATTTCTTCACGGAAGACTAGATTCATTGCTTGTGACTAGCATTTTGGTGGCCGGGTGTTTCTTAGGTAGTTGTGTGGACCTGCTTCCTCACCAAAACTCTGCTACGGAATGGATTTAGGGTCTGCGGGTGGACGAGTGGGTCACCTGCCACATTTTTGCTTTAAGACATGTGACAATTAATGACTGAGTGACAAGATTCCTCAGGAACTGTGTGTCCTTTACAGGCAAGGCAAACTTCCCCTTTCCTACCCTTGGCCTTGTCTTCCAAAAAGCCCCGGCTGAGTTACAGTTGAGCGGCCGTCCATGGCCAATGCTTCCTCATCAGGACAGCCACCACACTGCTGGCAGAGGTCACTGTGGCACCCGGAGTGTGATGTCCTTTGCATTTGATCAAGGCAAAGACTTTGCCTGGCCCTCTTACCAAGAAGAACGTTTTATTTTCTTTTCAGTTTTCCATCACTGTTTTGAGTTGGGTTGCACTGCAAACTTTTTTCTTTCTTTTAGAATGTGGAAACTTGGGGACTAAACATTTAACTTCTCCTAACTTGTCACTTGTACCTTTTCCCAGGCTGAGGCATTACCAAACCATTTTTGAGTTAAAATCTTCCTGTAACTTCTTTTCTGCCAGTGAAATGTTGAGTGCCTCCCGGAGCTAAGCCTTTTTAAATGACGGTCTGTCTGTCTTCTGCCACTTAGTTTGACTGGTGGGGAGGGAGACAGTGGTCCGTGCATTTTGTTCTCTTGATCAAATTTTCTTGTACGGATTAACTAGTTCCTTTAAAAATTAATGTGCTTTTTTTCTTTTCCTCCCAGTTTTCAAAGAAATATATAATCTTTGCTGGAAACAGAAAATGTGGTCAGTCAGGCTGAGAAATGACTGGTTTTTTTGGGGGGGGGCAAATACATTTTATGATTTCACTAGATAGTAAATTAGTTTTCCAGTGGTGCCTTGTAGTGAGGGAGTAGAGTGCTTAGATCTTGTGTTAGCCGTGGTGTGCTAAGTCAGAAGTGCTAAGCCAATGTCGGGGTGCTTCACACATTGTCTGTACCCGAAGGCATTGTTCCAGGGCTTGGAAGACACGAGTAAATATTCTTTTCACAGCACATTTAATTGGGGCAAACAATCAGGCTAATTCACGCCCAATTTCATAATTGGTAAGTATTTAGCTCAAGGTCCACCTAACTGGTAGTTGACTCCGCAGACACGGTCATGCAGTGTGCTTTTATGTGTTGTGTTACGTATAATTTATGTGGACATTGGGCTGCACGCAGCCGAGGCACAGGAAATGGCCAGTTGTGCCAATAGGAGTTTTTCTCCTTTATGGCGGAACTGAGGTAGACGCTCTCCTTTTTGTGCCAGGAACCCACGTTCTGGCAGCTCCTGGCATTGCGCCAGTGGTCCCGTCATTCTAGGCTCACTTTCCTGGAAATCCATCTTAGGAGAATTCCAGTTCCCTCATGGCTTAGACATCCTTAGCTTCAAAGGACCCTCAGATGCCGTGTTCTTGTTCTCGGTTGGACACAGAACTCCCTGGGGGCGGGGATAAAGATGCTGTTGGTGAAGACAGCAGACTGGAGGTAGGAGTATGGTTGACAGGGCTTCCTACAAAGGAAAAATGCAGACTTCATTGCTGGAATGCATTCCGATCTCGATATTGCTGGGCAAAGGGCTAAATGCAATGAGTGTATATGTTCAGTCACAGCCGTAGCTGTCTCCCTCAGTCTATGTGGATGTGTAGGTGAAACTCATGACCACGACCGAACTGAGAGGTCGTCCCTGTGCTAAAATGCACTTGAATTTTTTCTCAGTGTCCAAATGAGTCTTCTGTAACGATTCATTGTATTTTGTGAAACATTTGGGATGCAAGTCTGGTACTAACTTGCGGCTGGCTCTTGGTTCCGTTGAGGGCTCTGCCGCATGGTTTGCGTGTGTCCAGCTGGGTTCTGGCAACTTTCCATTTGTCACCTGAGGTCTGCAGGGAAATACCCTCAGCCGGTACCGCAAACAGTACTGTTCTGGTGTGTGTGTACGTGTGTGTGCACGTGTGTGCAGTGCATGCACATGTGTGCATATGTGTGTTTGCATGTGTGTGCATGTGTGCGCACATATGTGTGTATATATACATCTGTGTTTGCATGTGTGTATGTGTGTGTGTGCCTGTGTTTGTGTATGTGTGTATGTGAGGGTGTGTGTGTGCGCGTATGTGTGTATGTGCATGTATGTGTACATGTGTATGTGCACATGTGTGCATGTGTGTGTACATGTGTGTGCGCATTTGTGTATATGTGCATGTGTGCATGTGTGTGTGTGGGCCTGTAAGGGTGTGGGTGTGTGTCTGTGCTCACTCTTCATTCTGACCAGAGCTCCCTGTGCTTCCTCTTCAGCAGAGTTTCCACTTACAAACTGCTGCTTTTCTTCTCTGTAACGTTCCAATTTTAGTGCATGTGCTGCCAGAGCACAAACTGCTGCTTTTCTTATTCACCTACTTTGTGTGCCTTGGAGAGGAGGCCTGAAAATGGCGCTTCCTAACATCTGACAGGACAGCTTAAGGTTTCTGTGATGTCTAGTCCCCTTAATGTTTCAGGAAGTTGATCCAACCATAGAACCTTACTGATGCGGCGCCTTAATGAGAAATGCTGCTAAGTCTCACAGCTTCCATGTGAGGGCTATGACTTTGTCCACCCCCAAACAGAGCCCTTGGCTCCCAGCACACTTCCCACATCATGAAAACCAGAGAGTTCCCAGTTCCCAGTGGGTGGGGGTGAAATGTTTGGTTCAGTACTTTGAGTTTATGAAATCCTCAGTCTAATTCTTAATTAAAGAAAAAAAAAGACTCACCTCCTTGACATGGACATATAAACAAACCATTGTGGAATGAAGACACAAGTGCAGTTATTTATTTGTTTATTACTAGATACATTGAGGTTTTATTCCTGCCATAAAGACATAAAATTGTGTCCTTTACAGGAAACAGATGGAAGATGAAGATTGTGCTGTTATGTGAACTAGTCCAGACTCAGAAAGACAAATATGACATGTTTTCTGAGAGCCCAGTTTTAAAGCAGCATGTTTTCATCAGCCAGCTGTGCCCTTGAAGGGGAAAGGCTAACCCTTGGCTTCAGAGACTGAAAGGCCAATGCTGACATGGCAGCCAGGCATGAGTCCGCAACTTTCCTCCTTCCATTCTGCCCTCCTCAGCATAGTATTCACAGGATGTGGGGCACCCCAGGAAACACATCCATGTCCCCAAAGTGTCCGTCCTGCTGTGTGTAATCACCGCAGGTAACACCGAGTCTTTAGTTGGATGTGTAGTGTTGTGGAGTGAAATCATGGTATCCAACACTCAAGGCAGAAGAGGGGGTAGATATAGGCAGGCAGCTGGTCGAGTCTTGGACGAATTCTATTACAGTGTTTGGAATGATTGTGGGTGACCTGGAAAATACTGTATCAACCCACAAGCATCAACGAACTCTGCGTGTCTTTGTGTGATTTTATAAATCACGTGTATGCATATGAGCTCTGCTGTAATGCATAATGGAATATGTAGCAGGTTTGCAGGGATGAGCTGGAGAAAAATGACTTCTGTTTGTCTTCCTTAGCCTAGTGATTCCTGTGGCCATGCTACTCAGTTGGATGACACCAAGGAAGAAAAAGAGCTCCCAGGAGTTACCAAACCCAGTGGCCCTCTGGTAAGTTATGGAATAATGTATGGGGGTAAGGTGGGAAGCCACTTCTTTAAGACAGTCAAGTGAGACTTTAAGACAGCACAGTGTGAGTGAGGGCAGCCACGTCCATTAGCCTACCTGATGACTTTTCATCCACTGCTAAGAAAAATACCCAGCAGCTAATGAGCCAAGGTTAATAGGCAAACCCATGATTGACTACATGTCTTATAAACGCAGACACATAACCCGGTAACCCTGTGATTGGATTTCCTTTCTGTTTCCTCATTCAACTTCTCCAGTCCCCGTTCCCCATCATCTTCTGCAGTCACTCGCACCCAAGGGGGAAGAGTCCAAATGAGTAGGGCAAGAGCCAGGTCCCCATTACTGGAGAGCAGAGGGCTGTGGCTCCACCCGTGACTTTCTGGGGATTTCTCTCACACCTGTTTCCATGTGCAGCACGCCCACAGCATGGATGGGTCCCAAACTCGTACCGTCTGAAAGACGCCAGGAGAAACACTCAATTTATGTAAAAGCACAAGAAGTGTGAGCTAACCCACAGTGAGGGAGAGACCATCGGTGACTTCCCGGGGAATGAAGACAAAGAAAGAGGGAACGATAGATTTCCCCAAAGGTCATAGATTTCCCCCAAAGGACATGAGCATAGTTTGGGATGCTGGTGACAGTCATCTTGACTGTAGTCATGGCTAATTCCATAAGATCTAAGTTTTGAGCAAAATTTATTACTTTCATCAAAGTTATATGCTTAATACATATTCTGTTTTTGAGTTTAATTATGCAGGTAATTATGAATCTGCTGCATCTCAACCAACTGGCTAAAATCAAGTTCATAGTAAGGCTTGCAATTTCAGTAATAACACAGATACTTTGCAGTACATTGCTTACAGTACGTGCATGAATGGCTGTTCATATATTGCTCATGGTTGGTCTTTGACTCTGAGTGACAAATGGCACTAAGTTTGGTACTTACAAAGATTTACAATCCAACTGCTATCATGAAAATCCTAGTCTACAAATCACTTCTCATAGAAATAAATGAAGGCATTTTTCTTGTGTTCAGTCAACACAGATGAAATATTCACTGGAGATGTTAGTCTGTTGAAAAGGCAAAGTAGTCAATCTAGTTTACTGCCAATGTTTTAAGTGAAAAATCAAATTCAACACTTGCCATTGATTTATAACTCACCGCAAAATACAATCATGCCATCTGTTGAGAGTCATCAGTTGCATCTGTGTGTGTTTCCTGTGAAAGGAAATCTGAGGAACCTTGATTTAAACAAGTAGGAGTTTGTTTTAATCACAGAATAAGAGACTGATGATGAAAAACAAAAATCAAAGCCGGTACAGTTGTACAGTGGTGACTTTAGCATGGGAATGACTTCCTCTTCAGGATGCCCCAGCCCCAACCCTATGGTTAGGAAACTGTCTTTAGCATCAATCCTCAGTGTTCCTGGAAAATCTGCATGGTGGAGTTTCTCTTGTTTTCCACAGTCAGCCTATAACACCCTTACTAGGTTGTATGGATTTTTTTTCACCCTTTGTTGCTTAGACCTTAGTCCCTTAAAATAAGTGATCTTGGTTTCTTATATAAACTTTTTGTTTTATTTCTTGAGTACTATGAATCTTAAATTTATTCTGGATTCTGAACTTTGACGATCTTGGTTTTATTTCATTTATTCTGATCGACCTTCAGGGAGTCTTTCCCGTCTCTCTTCAGTTTCTGAAGATTTTCTTCCATTGGATCTTAACCTTTCTCCTTAATCCCTGTGGCCCATCTCTCTAGAACAGAAATTGTATGATGGTCGCTTTGCTTGAATCATTTTTCACTGTTTGCTAAATTTTACGTTAGTCTCTTTGCCATGTATTCTGAACTTTTCCAACATTGTGTTTCAAATTATTACATTTTTTTTCTTGGCTATAATTGCGTGGTTATTTAGCTTCCCAACTCTGTGTGTGCTTCAGAAAAACATATTCTTATTACCTAAGAAAAACTTCTTTTCGAGTTCATATGCCCATCGTTACAGCCATATATATGTTCTGGGCCAAAGTTTGCCGCCTAAAACTTTGAGAATACGAGTTATTTTTACACCTTTTTGAAACTGGGGCACAAATTTTTTGGGGGGGGGCTTTACGAGACAGGGTTTCTCTGTATTGTTTTGGAGGCTGTCGGTCCAGCCCGGCCTCGAACTCACAGAGATCCGCCTGCCTCTGCCTGGGATTAAAGGCGTGCGCCACCACCACCCGGTGAAACTGGGGCACAATTTACAAATAAACGCGCCACACCTTAGGCGTGTCATTCAACTGGGTGTTTAACACACGTGTTCCCCAGACGATCACAGTCTTGATGGAAAGCGCAGAAGAAGATGGATGGCCGTTGCCACAGAACGCTGCCCCTGTCCTTGTCAGCGGGCAGCCCTTCCTCACTTCAGCGGGGGGCCCGCATCGTGAATGCTGTCACCTTTGCTGGCTTTCACCTCTGTATACCTAAGATTCTAAACACGTGACTGCTTTCTTTGACTCATGACCATAGTCTTTTTTGTTTGTTTGTTTTTGTTTTTACGAGACAGGGTTTCTCTGTATTGTTTTGGAGGCTGTCGGTCCAGCCCGGCCTCGAACTCACAGAGATCCGCCTGCCTCTGCCTCCCGAGTGCTGGGATTAAAGGCGTGCACCACCAACGCCCGGCGACCATAGTCTTAAGACCTATAAATCTGTACTTACAGCCTTCTAGCGGGTTCTACTTCCATTTCATAACTGTGTCTCCCGTGGCCGCGTCTTCTCTTCACCCAGTGATGGCTGTTTGGATCCCGTAAAAGTTTTGGGCTACCGTGAGCAGTACGGCCACAAGCACCCTTGCAGCTAAAGGGTGTGCGCTCGCATTTCTCTTGAGCAAAGAGCCCACTCACTTCAGGTCGCTGCCAAGCACTAAACCATACCCAGCATCAGCACGCACCACTGCTCTCAGCCAGGAAGAATTTCATAGGTCAGTCCAAGAGAGTGACATTCTATCTTCGAAAACGCTACAGTCAGAAATAACAGCCAGAACAAGCGCTTAATGCATACGCTGACAGCTAGCTCTTGGTGTTTGTGGGTGAGCTCACAGGAGAAAATAAATAGCTAACGTGTAAATAGTTTTTTTCAGTATCTTCAGTGTCTACTAAGATATAAATATTTAGTGTTTCACCCAAACTTCCCAAAGGTAAATATTTTATGAGAGGAACATATTAACTTCGGTAAAAGTAGCATCCTCAGTGACGCAGACGGAGAGGGATTTACCCCTGCGCGAGCACCCTCTGGTGAGAGGACCAGAGCACTCCTGCTGGGCGGCAGCTAGAGTCCTGGGGCTGAGCTTCCAGTGGTTGGGGTGCCTCTGGTCCAGTCTCAGGTCCTAGGTGGCTTTCAGTCTGCTTCCCAGACCTCACCGCTGCCCACTCTCCTCAGCACTGCGAACCAAAGGCCTCTCCTAGGCAAAGGGAAACTGCCACACGCGTATCCCCGGAGGGAGCGGTGAACCTACTGCTCCCACAAGGCTTTTGGTGCAACTGGACTTATTGATTTTTCTCGATTGATTCATGTAGGAGGAAATTGTTTATGGTTCCTCTGTAGATGTAGCTTCCCCAGAGGCAGAACGTTCGTGGCACTTAGCTTTAAGGTTATGTAGAGATGGGGGATGGAGCAGACGCCCCGCCCTCCCCAAGTGCAAAAATCAGAGAGAGGACAATCGATGCTGTCTTACTCCCTGTGAAGCTAGGTCACTGGTTTTCTCTCTCAAGCCTCTCCCCTGTGACACCTTCTCTCTTGCGCGAGCAGCCAACTCACCCCCAAGGTACTTAGTCTATTTTATTTGGACAATATGCTGTCTGTTTCCCTAGGGTTATATTTAACAACTGTCCACGTTTAAGGGAGAAGTCAGCCTAGCGTCTGTGTTTGCGACCATTTTTAATTATTTGCCTGCATCTGTCCCTGCTTTGCTCATTCTTTATTATTAGCGTGTTTTTTTTCTAAACTGTTTTCCTAGGAATTCTCCTTTATGCTACTTAACTTTATTTTAATTTTATTTTGTGCGTGTGGGTGTTTGCCAACAATGTATGTTTGTGCACTTCATGCTACTGGTGGCCTGGGAGTCCGGAAGAGGGCATCAGGTTCCTCAGGACTGGAGTTACGCATTGTTAAGAGCCACCTTGTGGGCATTGGGAATTGAACCCAGGTCCTCTGGGTGAGCAGTCAGTGTTCTTAATGACGAATCTATCTTTCCATCCTTCTTTTGACACTTTAAGAGGAGTTATTTCTCTTGCTGTTTGCTTTTCATCTAGGAATTGCTGTCAGTGGTTCTACTGTGGAATTCTTTGCTGCATCCCAGGGCTGTGGGAATGGGTTCCCTGTAAAATCTGCCGTGTGTAATGATTTGGGTGGGGGGAGAGGTGGATGGATGTTAGTTGGCCTCCTTGATTAACTCTCCCGCCAGTTCTTGAGTTCCGTTTGTTCCTTTAAAACATTCTGCTCTCTCTGTGTCTCTCCACACTGATGCTTTTCTCAAGCTAGGCTGCAAATTAAGGCAAAAGATTCCTTGGTTCAGACCATTTGTCCAACACTAAACTCTGACTTCTGAGTAAGATTTTGACATAACACCTTGTTTCTCTGCCTGGAGAACGTTTTTACGTGCACAGTAGGCAATTATTTGATTACAAACAGGACACTTTTTCTTTGCTTTCCTTTTAGGACCCTGACTAAAGGTCAAGGAGATCAAAATGACAAAAGGCAGAATTAATCAGTAAGATTATTAAGAGGCCTGCTTGCTTTTACATTGAAAGCAGGTGGAGTGCTTACACATGAACCGACTGCAAGTCTGGGTGTGAACTCTAACTGAAGCACAGGGAAGGGCTGCGGAGCAGAGTGAGGAGATGCCGGAGGGAGGGGAGTCGTGGATTCTCACTTATGCAGAGGCAGGCTCGCACTCAGCACAGAGGAAAGGGATTAACCATGTATGGAGATATAGGTAGACGTAGATACATAGATAGATGCCATCTGTCTATCCACCCATCTTTCTAGCATATCCGTCTATCTGTATGTCTATCTTCCATCCATCCACCAGCCATCTGGTTTGTTTACTTATTTATTTATTTATTATTTATGAGCAACAGGGTCTCATGTAGCCCAGGCTAGCTTCAAACTCTCTATGTAGCTGAGGGTGAGCTTGAACTCTTCATCTTTCTGCCTCCACCTATCCAGTGCTAGGTGCTGGGATAGCAGGACTGCCCTGCCACACCCACCCACCTCTTGTTCATTCGTGTGTGTGTGTGTGTGTGTGTGTGTGTGTGTGTGTGTGTGTGTGTGTGTGTTAGGTCTTCCTTTGCAGCCCAGGCTGTTATCCAGTTCCCCATCGTCCTGTCTCAGTCTCCCGAGTGCTGGGATGATGATAACCTTGCACCACCACGCCCAATCCTATTCCTATTGATCAGGAAAGCCTTAGTCTCCCCCAGAAACTCTTTGGGTAAGTTCACACTTACACCTTGTTGCCAACATTTGCCACATGGATCCCTCTTAGTGACACATGAGCCCAGAATGATGGCTTTTTTTAAGCTCCCTAGAAATAAATCAAGGTAGCATTAAGGCAACCAGAGTATGTGGCAGGTAGTAGCCGGGTCTGTTGCAGAAGCCAGGTATAAGCAGAGGGCTTGGCATTCAGGCTCTCGCAGTGGTGAGCGCTAATGTAGGTGTCCATACGCAGACTTTCCTGACCTCCTGTTGGTCACACGCATCTCCTTGTGGAGTGCACAAACGCACTGGAAAGTAATTCTGGAGTAAGGACGGTTCCCTTCTGTCTCCATGTAGCCAGACGACACCTCCATCAGCAGCACCACCCTATCCAATGGTGTCCAGGATGAAGAGAGTAGTTTTGTGGACCTCCAGAGTGGCTCCATGGTGAGTTTTGGTTCAAGCACAATGGCATGTTTAGACAACCATATTGTTGGAAGGTAAGGAGAACGATATTTTTTTTTCAAGAAAAATTAGGAAAACTTGAAGGAGTCTTCCAAACAAACTGATCCACCAGCCTCCTAACAACTGGGACGGATCCTTCAAACTAAGGAATGAATGCGCCTTTCCGTTCTCCAAGCCTGATGGGACAGGCTTATGCTCTCAGCTACCTGAGAGGCTAAGGCAGAGGAGCCAACAAATCCGAGACTAGCCTGAACGACTTAGTGCCAAAAATTTTGAAAACGGGGGCTGAGGAGATGCAGGAAGCGTTTGCAGTGCCCACATAACAACCCAGATGTGGTGGCTCCCGCTGGTCATCCCAGCACCCAGGAGTCACAGACAGGCAGGTGTCTGGCTCTCACTGGCCTCCAGTTTAGCCTAATCTGTGAGCCCCTGCCCGGTCCCAGTGAGAGTCCGGGTCTCAAAGCACAAGGTGCATGGCTCCTGAAGAGCAGCCAGCCAAGGCTGGCCTCGTGTTTATGCATGAGCAAACACGCGTGCCCTCCTCGCGCGCGTGCACACACATACACAGACACACACACACAAAACAATAGTGAAATATTAAGTAGTGAAAAAGGTTAGAATGTATCTCAGAGGTAAGACGCTTGCCTGGTATCCACAAGATACTAGATTCAAACCCCAGCATCACAAAAAACGATAGCAAAGTATCTGAGTTTAAAGGGGGCTCCACTTACATACACGATTGTGCTTTTGTCAGAGTCTCATGGCTCCACGCCGTCATATGAACGCAAAGAAAGGTTACACCTTCCTCTTGAAAAGCTCACCGGGACTTTTCCTCTAACGTTTCGTGATTACGCAGAATGTTCGTTCTGGATTTCCAAGCCTCGTAATTGCATTATGGTGGGCTGTGAGTTGAATTGCATCAGAATGGGTCACCCAGTGTTTATTGAAATGAAGGTCCCCGACCGCAGACTCGCCAACTGCAGATGGAAGATATTTCAGTTGTGTCTGTAAAGTGAGCACGCGCAGATGTTTCCTCTTGCCATGCCTTGCTCAGCAGCACCGTGTGACGGCTATCCATGTAGAGCTGACACCGTGAGGCGCTGTGCATGGCGGAGGGTGGCCTAAAGTCTTGAGGAGGTTGTGCGTAGGCCAGATGCTGTCCTGCTCTGTGAGGACCATCTGACTACTTTTGACGTCTGCAGGAGTCCCAGGAGCCACTCCTTGCCTGAGGATCACTGGTGGGCTTGGTAGAGTCATGGTAGTCTCACTCTGATCCCAGTGCTGTAGCAGGAGGCTGTCCCTTTGTTCCGTCCCGTCCTACAGTCTCCTTTGAGTGTAAGTCCCCCAGTGAGCTAAAACACCCCCCCCCCAAAGACTCCACCTGTGAAAGTGCCAGCAGCGCTGCGTGGGAGATCAGACACGGGGATTTGCAAGGCGGGTCACATCAAAGTGGGAGCCGTGGGTGTATATGCTGTGGCGTTAGCTTTTCCTAGCCCTCCACTCTGTCCTTTCACCTAGACACTGCAGTGTACGGCACCTGCATCTCAACAGCTGGCCGCCTGTTTGCACGTGATTTATACAATTAGGAGGTTTAAAAATCCCGCCTGAAATAAAAACAGGCACCGGAAGACAGCAGGAGGCTGAGAATTTGAGACCTTCCCCCCACCCCCCCGTGCAATCTTCAGCACAGGATAATGGATCTTTCACGAAGCAGGTGTTCAATGATTGCTGCATAAATATGAGAATAAAAAGACCCAGCGTCGCTGTCTTTGGGGAAAAGGACAGATTTTTATGTGTGCATAGCATATAAAAGTTTCTTGGTAGAATGGCAGTTTCTTGAAGTCACACGTGTTCACAGATAATACTCTCACATTAGAATTTATATAGGATATACAGTTTGCGTGTAAGTTTTTTGGTAGAGTTTCTATGTTTTTTTGTTTTTGTTTTTGTTTTTTTTTTTTAGCTGATACCCTTCCAGACATGAGCAGAAACTCACTTTGCAGAACTCTGTAAGGAGGCATACTCAGCTTCCGATGGTACAAATGGGGCACAACAGAGCTCTGGCAGGATTTCCTCGTGAGGAAGGAGCCAAATTAGAAAGGAAGTTGGGTTATAAAAGAAAAATTATTATTTTAGAGTCTTATTGTTGTTTGTTTGTTTGTTTTGCAACAGGGTCTTCCTGTATAAACCAGGTTAGTCTGGAATTCACTACATAGACCAGGCTAGCATAGAACCCTCTGTGTAGACCATGCTGGCCTAGAACCCTTTATGTAGACCAGGCTACCATAGAACTCTCTGTGTAGACCATGCTGGCCTAGAACCCACTGTGTTGATCAGGCTGGCCTAGAACCCTCTGTGTAGACCAGATTGGCCTAGAACCCTTTATGTAGACCATGCTAGCATAGAACTCTCTGTGTAGACCAGGCTGGTCTAGAACCCTCTGTGTTAATCAGGCTGGCCTAGAACCCTCTGTGTAGACCAGGCTGGCCTGTAACTTCACCTACTGCCTTGTCTCCTGAGTGCTGGGATTGCAGTCAGGTAGTCACCACATCTGGAAAGATGGTTAACTTTGTTGTTAGTTGTTATTACCCCATATTTCACAATATAAGAGCTGATACGCTAATATTAGCAACATAACTGATGTAACTAAGACAGAATGTATCCAGATGAGCAGGTGGCAGTTATCAAATGTATATCATCAAACATTCTAATTTTTACACCTTAGCAGAAGCATCTGGATATATGAGCTAAGAAGGCAGAGTTAGTTATGAGTGCTTCAGCATAGTTCTCTGAGAAACTTGGGTAAGCCCCATGCATCTGAACTAACTGTAGAAACAACTGTGGTCACTGCAAGCCACTTGTGATACCAAGAAGTATATTTGTGAAAAATATTCATCTATTGCAGGACACACACCCAGTTGAGATGCAGGGTCAGGCTGGAGAGATGGCTCTGCTGTTAAAAGCTAGGCTTGTAACCGAGAGTGTACGAGAAGAGTCACTGTATTTGTGCTAAGCGCTTTTGTCTCTCTTTGCTTGCTTGGCAGTCAATACTTGAGGCTATGCCACATCTTCCTGTTCATACCAATGGGTCTGCGGAAGCTGAACCATCAGTTCCAAGTGCCTTGAGTGGTGAGTGGCTCGTCCCCTGGTGAACCTATGCTGTGCCTTCTCCTTTGGGGTCTGGCACTCAGTGCAGGGTAGCAGTGAGTTTCTTTCTTTCTTTTTTATTGTTACCTAATGCATCGACTCTTAACATTGACTGTGTCAACACCACAGATGTATACAAAGGACTTTTTGGTGGGGTACCTGTGGTGAGGTTTGATGCACACATGCATTGTCTAATGTCTGCCTCAGGGTGAACTTAGCTAACTCTTAAACACATGTCGGTTCTTTGTTTTAAAAGCTTCCAAGTTCCTTTCCTGCAGGTTTTTGAGACGTGTAGCACATTATTGTTATCTCTCTTCTGTTAGCATTCAGGCGTCTGTACTGGCCTGCCCTTGGGGTTCTGACAGGATGCGCCCTCAGCTGCAGCCACTAAGAGCACCACCTGTGCACATTCACTGTGTTCCCTTTTAAAAGGGCCCTGCCCACCTCCCATTTTTCTCTCTCTTTGTCTGTCTGTTCCTTTCTCTCTCTCTCTCTCTGCTGCCTGTCTGTCTATCCCCCTGCCTCCCACTTCTTTTTCTCTCTTCTACTTTTCCTGTTCCCAGAGGCTGGTCTCCTCACTCCCCTCCTCCCTGCTTTTCCCATTCCCTACCCCCTAATTAAAAAGCAAACCAAAACAAACAAACAAAAAACCATGTGAGCGCTGTCTGCCACAGGGCATCTTTTTCTCTCGGGCTGCTTTTTAAGTTACAACACAGTCACCATGCTGGGCTCTAGCACCTGGGAACTTTTTAGTCTTGCCTCCCCGTGCCCTGGTGCTCATGGATAAGTCTCTCCCGCCCTTGCCTCTACCCAGCAGGGTGTATATTATGATCCTGTTGCTTCCCAGCACTCCATCCCTTACCTCCCAAGCAACCCATTTTGTCATAACGGACAATGTTAACCCAACAGGGCGAAGTTTTCCTTCGCTTCCAACATGTGAGGTAGGAGTCTCTTGACTCCTGCAGTGGCCTTGAGTTAGGCCTCCCCATAAGTGCCACGATGTAGCCCGATGTTACAAGGACGCTAAGAAGCATCCTCATCCAAGCTTCCTGGTGACTGATGAACCGTGCAATTCACCCCCAGCTGCTTCTCTCACACAAGCTTATTAGGGCTGACTCTCACCATTTGAGACACTCAGGGATGGGATGCTCCTGCTCCAAGGCTGGCCCCCCAAGGCCCTGCCTTTGTAATTCCTGTCTTTTGAGAGATACGCACTCTCTTCTTAGAGAAACACAGCCTATACTCTGGACCATTCCCATCCAGAAACAAAGCGGAGGTGATGAACGTGTTCTAGAACTGACCAAAATGATAGCTGCCCAGCTGTGACATCAAAATCCATTGACTTCATACATCAAATGGCAAATTGCCTGATATGCAAATTGTTTTTCAACAATGTCGAGACTGAAAATAACCAAGAGGAGACTTGCCAGGAATGCTTTCCCATCGGCCTGTTTACCGTCTGTGATCTAGTTATAATCATGACATCAGAGACAGATGCCCTCATGCAGTGGCCCAGTGGCTTGGAGAATCTGCCTGCCTGGTTACTGTTTTCCGGAGACCCTGTCCTAGATGTGCAGGAAGTAGGAGCACTGTTCAATCCCTTTCCTCTGTGCTGAGTGCGAGCCTGCCTCTGCATAAGTGAGAATCCACCACTCCCCTCCCTCCAGCATCTCCTCACTCCAATCTGCAGCCCTTAGCTCTGCTTCAGCTAGTGTTCACACCCAGACTTGCAGTCGGTTAATTTGTAAGCGCTCCATCCGCTTCTAATGCAAAACCAAATAAAATAAAATAAAATAAAACAAGCAGGCCTCTTATTAATCTTACTGATTAATTCTGCCTTTTGTCATTTTGATCTCCTTGACCTTTAGTCAGGGTCCTAAGAGGAAAGCAAAGAAAAAGTGTCCTGTTTGTAATCAAATCATTGCTTACTGTGCACATAAAAATGTTCGTCAGGCAGAGAAACAAGGTGTTATGTCAAAATCTTACTCAGAAGTCAGAGTTGGACAAATGGTCTGAACCAAGGAATCCTGTGCCTTAATTTGCAGCCTGTGTGGGACATTCCTGTCTCTGTCACCCAGTCAGGTGCTTCTTATGGGCATCATTCGAGGCTAAACCAGCGTGGAATTAAGAATGCCAGCATGACCCCTGCACGCCCAGCAGTGGGATCCACACTGGATCATCTCAAAAGGGGAAACTTGGTGCTTGTGAAAGTACAGGGGAGTTTTAGGGAGATCCCTTCCTTTCCCGCTCTTTAAGCTCCTGGGCCCCCAGGAGGCAGTGCCGGATCTAGATGGAATTTTTAATATCAGAAGACTACAGAGGAATGCATCGAGGGCCTTGCCTCTAATTCTTACGAACTTTCACAACACCTAAAATTTTAAAGCACTGAAAATTAGATCGGACCGCTGTTTTGAGTGCTGGTAGAAATGTGTCCGTGAGAAGGTCAGTGTCACATGTCACTGCCTTAGTGAACTCTTCCTCTGGGAGCCAGGCTATGTTTCTCAGATTTCCATACTCCAGCATGCCTGGCGGGGTGGGAGGGGTCCCTTGTAGGCACTGGTAATTTATTTTGCAGCCGGTAGCCTTGGCTGGTTTGATCCTGTATTACCTTCCTTGACTCTTGTCTTTGTCTCCCTTTTTAGATGATGACTATTTAGAAAAGAACATCCCGCCAGAGGCTGAAGAGCTGTCTTTCGAGGTGTCTTACTCAGAGATGGTGACAGAGGCCCCACACAGGCATAAGTGGAAGAAGCCAGACATTAAGAAAGAAGACTCTGCCTTAACCGTAAGTAAGCCCTTCCCCGATCAGTCTAATAACTTCCTGAGACGGCGTCCTCTGTCACTAAGAAGGCGGCTTTTCATCTCTGTATACGCGTAACGGAGCTGGGGATGCCAGGCACCAGCTCTCCGTGTCCCCCTGGGATAGGCTTAGACACGTTGCTTTGTGTGTAAGGTACCCCGTGTAGCCCAGATTTTCAGGACAATGGTATGTACAGTGGCTGGGTAGGGGTGGGGGTGGGATGGCTCAGTGGTTAGAGCCGCTTGCCAAGCAAGCGTGGTGGCTGAGTCTGAGCCTGCATTTCCCCCATGTGAAGGTGGGCATAGGGGAAGCTCATCTGTCATCTCAGGCCTCCTGAGGTGAGATGAGGGGCAGAGGCCCAACTAGTGTGGCATTCTAGGCAGCCAACAGTTAGAGACCCCGCCCCGTCTCAAGCAAGGTGGGAAAAGGCAAGGACTGACCACTGAGTCTCCTGGCCACCGCGTGCCTGCTATGACGCGCACACCCACGCTTACACACGTAAATGTGCCCGTGCACACAAACACAGAAAGACGGACAAGGAAGAGGGGGAGGAGGAGGGGGCCATGGCTGCCGCAGTGCTGGCAACGTCACAGCCTTGATAGCCGTGCTGGCCTGCCCTTCAGGCTGCGGTCTGGCTTCTAATTAGCCTAGCGGTGGCCTTCCTGATTTCTCTAACATCCGATGATGGCTGTTTCTGTGGCCCAAGGGGCTCCTCGGAGTAACTTTCGCCAGGAGGTTTTGTTGTGTAAACTTAGAACGTCCTGATTTCATTTGATTTTAAAAAATAATAATAATAAATAAATACCTCCACTTTGCGTATTTCAGAAATTTATTGTGCAGAAAACTAGATTTGGGTGGACCGAAACAGGAGACCTGTCTCCCGAAGACATGAAGAAAATCCGCCACCTCTCCCTGATCGAACTGACAGCCTTCTTTGATGCTTTCGGAATACAACTGAAAAGAAACAAAACAGAGAGAGGGAGAGGCCGAGGTAACTAGTAAGCCAGGCTGCTGGCCTCGGCGCTGGCTCTGGGACACGGGGATGCGTTCTGACTCTCGCGTTGTCTTCCTCCCTTGCCTATTTTCGCTGCAGACAGCGGGATCTTCGGAGTGCCTCTTACAGTCCTCCTGGACAATGACCGGAAGAAGGACCCTGAAGTCAAAGTCCCCCTTGTGTTACAAAAAGTGAGTCGTCAACGTGCAAAGGGATCGGGAGATAATGAGCTCATTGGGTGTTTTTTTTTTTTTTTTTCTCTTAAAGAGCAGGGCCCTTTGGGTTTAGTCTTTTTTATTAATCCACTTTTTCATGACCGTACTAAGCCGCCTGACTTGGGCACTCACTAGAAAGTGAGTGACTTAGACCGGGATTAGGAAGACTGAGATTCCAAATGGTATAGCATCACTCGGTGACAGCCACCTTGGCCATACCACCTCGTGGCAGATGGATGTCAGCCCAGGGCCAGGGCCGTGCGTGAGAGGGAGACTTGGCTCTGTCAGATGGGAAGTCAGCGAATGAGGAGGGTACTGCGGGAGAAGGTCTCCCCGTGGGCTCCCTCTCTTGAAGTGCGCACTGTCACAGAGGTTCACGTTGTAGACACATGACCCTTAGGGACCAGCCACTTCCCACCTCGGGGGTGTTGGCTGCAAGCTGCAGGAGTCCTTGCATTGCTCTGACATAGGATGTCGGGGAAGACACGAGTGTTCTGTCCTCCTGCTGTCTTCCGATGTGGCTTGTGTTTTTGTGTATTTTTTTCTCTCTCTCAAGGCAGGGTGTTAGCATGCAGCCACACCTTGGCCCTGCCCCTTGGGGTCCTGGCAGAGTACAGCACCCCTCTGGGCGTGGCAAGCAGTACCCTGGCTCTGTAAGCAAAAGGTCCCTCTAAGAGAGGAGCTCCGCCTGTTTCCTCTCTCTCTGCCCTTTCTCTGCCGAGGCAGGCAGGTCCCTGTCTGTCTGTGTCTGTCTGTCTCTGTCTCCCTCTCTCCCTCCCCTTCTCCTACTACTTCCCTTCCCCCAGTAAACTTACCACCTACGTTCTGCCTGCCTGGTGAATTTGTCTCTCACCCGCCCTGGGGTCCACCAAGGTCCCCCTCATGCCGCATGCCATAACACAGGGTCTTACTATGTCACCCTGGCTGTGCTGGAACTCACTGTGTAGACCTGGAACTCACAGGGATCCCCCTGCCTCTGCCCCCTGAGTGCTGGGATTAAAGGTGCGCACCACAATGCCCGGCTGTTGACACGTATTTTTGATTATTCTGTTTAAAGACATGATTATTAACAGCCTGTCTGATGATGAACATGTCAGTGCTTTCTGAGATGAACCAAATTGGTCAGGTGTGTGTGTGTGTGTGTGTGTGTGTGTGTGTTCATGCACACATGCCTGCAATCATTTAATGAAAGTTTGAACTCAAAATCAACTTATAAAGTAAAAAAACCTGGCTTTCCTCGAATCATATTTCAAAGGTGAATATACCCACTAAATGGTCAGGATACGAAAATTTTGTGAGAGGATTTTTTTTAATGATATCTCAACTGCTGTATCCAGTTGTTGCTAAATAGCTGGCTTGATTTATTTAAAACGAGGCTTACATTTATTTTTAATTATGTGTCTGTGTCGCTGTGTGTGTAGGTACACACACGTGTGAGTGCGCGAGTGCCTGAGGTAAGAAGATAGCATCAGAGTCCCTGGACCTGAGTCCTCCCTGCGAGGATGCTGGGGACTGAACTCGGGTCCTCTGCGTGAGTAGTGTGCGTGTGCTTCTAGCCATGATCTGTCCCTCCAGCCCCACAGTCTGCAACCAAAGCATGCCTACTCAAGTAGACACTCACTCAACAGTGACCTCCGGTGGCGCAATTAAAACGCCAGCCTTCCCCGCAGACCTTGCTGACTTTTGAACTGTTTGTGAATGATACAGGAAAACCCTGGCAGAGGAGACACAGTTGCGTCACTCACGCTCACGACACCCCCCCCATCCTCCCTCTTCTTCCTTCTCTCATTTGGCTCTCAGTGCCTCATACTGAGCTGCTTCCTAGAGTCTGGTGATTAACTGGCCAGTGATGGAGCCAGGAGGGTGACAGTGGCTGCCAGGAGATGTCTGTGTCATCTCTGTGCACAGGGTCCATCTGTGGGGGGGGCTCTCCAGGGGAAGGTTTGTACCAATGATGTCATATCCTATGGAGTCAGCATGGGGCAGCCCAAGGGACCATCTTATCTGCTCCTCACTAACAAGGCAACTGGGGCATAGGAGCTCAACATAACAGGCAGAGGGGGATGGGAACCCAGCATGTGCCAAGCCCACAGTCCTGCTGGTGGTGCTGTTCCCCTCCGCTGGAATCACACACAAGTGCTGTGCTCTCTCCTACGTGTAGACGGGCTCTGTAGGAAACAGCCTTTGAAAACCCATGGCACGAATTCAGCCTCCGGTTTATATGGCATAGGTGCAAAGGCCCGGCCTAGAGCTTGGCAGCTGGCATCAGGTATGAAGCGCTCAGTAAATGCTAAGTGAACGGGAGATCTAGGTCACGTTCCCAACCCAGCGAGTGGCAGCCATTCTGACTGTTGATGCTGTGTGCCTCACCCAAGGCTGCCTGAGGAGGAGGAACTGTCTGTCGCTCAGCCGCTGTGAGAGGCGCTTCTCAGACACACGCATCTCCTTTCCCCTCTCTGAAGGAATATGGCAGCCCACACACGGCAGCTTCCTCTCCCCTTCTGATCTTAGAAAGGTTGCCTGCCCTCCACATGCCTCAGCCTCCTCAGCAGGGTGGTGACAGCGCCAGAGGTCAGGGTGGGTGCATACGCACAGGACGTGGAAACTTATTGTTAAAGCTCATCACCACCACCAACATCACCATGATCACCATCACCACCATGACCACCATGACCACCACCATCACCACCACCACCACCACCACTACCATCACCACCACCATCACCACCACCACCACCACCACCACCACCACCACCACCACCACCATCACCACCACCACCATCACCATCACCACCATGACCACCATCACCATCACCACCACCATGACCATCACCACCACCATCACCATCACCACCACCACCATCACCATCACCATCACCACCATGACCACCATCACCATCACCATCACCACCACCACCACCACCATCACCATCATGAACCACCATCACCACCATGAGAATCTGCGAGTTAGCCTACATTTCCAAGTTCTTGGTTAGTCTTCTAGAATTCTTTAGCTTCCTAGGCAGGATCTTTGCCATTAATGAGAGTAGATTTGGAAGAGATCCAGGGCAGCCAGGGAAGTGTGGCTGTAGACAGAGTTGACTTAGTGTTTTTTTCCTACTAATTGGTCTGCAGAAGAGAAACAATGATCAGAGTAGACAGAGTCAAGTTGGCAGGATAGCTTAATGAGTAAGAGAACATGCCCCGTAGGGTCAATGCTTTACTTAGGAGGTAATGTGAGAAGTGATGGCATAGGTCTAAGTGGAGAACTCAGTCATTGGCCAATTGGAAGGAATGTTGACATTGTCGAGTGGTCATTGGCGTTTTGGAAATAATTCATATATCAGGTTTATATGCATACTCATCAGTCTGTTGATCATGTCCCTCATTGTTTAGGACATCTGCAATGATACAGAGATGTTCAAGCTTTTGTAATTTATTGTTGATCTCTAGTTCTTTCAGAAAGTCGAGGAATCAGGCCTGGAATCGGAAGGAATTTTTCGACTTTCAGGATGTACAGCCAAAGTCAAGGTACTCAATGTTCTCTTCCTTCCTAGACAAATGGGTAAGCTGCTTCTAGCCAGTGTTCTATTGCTCTGAAGAGACACCATGACCAAGGCGACACTTACAAAAGAATGCATTCAATCTGGGGGCTTGTTTGCGGTTTCAGAGGTTTCGTCCATTGTCGTCATAGGAGGGGCATGGTGGGGACATGCTGAGGGCATATTGGCACTTACGGCTGGAGTGGTAGCTAGAAGCTACATCTTTATCAACAGGTAGAGAAAGAGAGAAAAATTGGGCCTAGCTTGAGCTTTTGAAATCTCAAAACCCGTCCGTCAAGGCCACACCAACTTCAGTAAGGCCACACCTACTTCAGTAAGGCCACACCTCCCAATCCTCCTCTAACAGTGCCATTCAAATACATGAGTCTATGGGGCCATTCCTACTCAGACCACCACAACCTGGTCCCGATGAGTGTCAGAGATCTCGTCTTTGTGGCCGTGATTCTTGCTTTGACAGTATCATGTGGCTTGCTGTAATGCTCTTCAGAACCTCTGATGATATGTTTCTTCCATGCTGGGATTTGTAAACATAGCATAAGGAAGCATTACATTGATTGACCATCAGAACCGTTGTGTGTCTTCATTTTGAAGTTTGAAACACCCATCCCTGTTTGAGGGATTACCCACTTCGGTTGGCGGAGTCTTTCTTTTGGCCTTTGAAGTCAGTGAGCCCGTTGGCTTCCATTACCAATTGGTCCCACGCTGAGAAGCGTTCTTTGGCTCTCCTTTTGGCTGAAATTTGTCTGAGAATTTGTAGCATTAAATGCTCCTAACCACAGGAATACTCACTCAGCTGTTCTGAAGCCCAATCCCATTTATGGTAATGCCGGTGTCCACATAGGACGCCAACACAGAGATGTGAATCTGTTTGTTTCGCCTTCTTATACCCACACACAGACAGGCGCGCTCTACAGAGCAGCGAAGGGTCCTCGGAGGGAAGGCCTCTTCTGATAAATTTCTGGTAAAATATCTCCCCTGTGCTTCCTGATGGGCACAGACAATGAAGAGTTCATGCCTACCCTTTGGTCATCCCGGTCTGTGGATGTTCAGTGATGGGCCCTGAAAGGAATATTCATGTTGTGGTGAAGAAAAATGAATTTGATTGTGATAGGCCCATGAAAGGAAAGGCCCAGAGATGGAAAGCCAAGGCATCCCTTCATTAATTCGTTTAAGTACACACTTGGGTTCTGGGCCTGTGAGAATTGTCAAGGTAGGAATGTAGGAATATGATGGTATTTTCTGAATGGGGGGATAACAAGTAGGCTGTGTCTATTGGATCCTCCACAGCAGTGAATGGGCTGGCAATTGAAGAGAGCCAGTAAGGCATGGGCTGTGGTACAGGTCCGGACCCTTTGCCCGCTCAGCCACAGGCTGCCCACTCAGCCACAGGCTAGGTGCCCTTCAAAGAACGGGCTGCAGCAGGTGTTGAGAGAGTCAGCTACCTGAACCTCTTGTCAATGAACGTATCAAGTGCTCATTGGAAGGGAGGTCTGAAGCAGGACGGGCTGGGAGTCATGACTACATTCAGTGACGGGTTGGGTAAACAGGAACAGGATTTCATTTGGAAGGCGAATAATGGCCCGGTGGCTCCCTGAAGTGATTCTATCCTGATTTATATCATGTTTTATTCTTATATTTTTGGTTGTGAGCCTAGCCTCTGACGGCTGAGCCCTCATGTTTTATTCTTAAGTGTGCTTCCTCCGAGGGAAATGCACGCAGTAATGAGGGCGATAATCTCAGCCAGAGACCCCCCCCAAAGAGCTGAAGAATCGGGCTTCCCAGCCAGAATCAAACTCCATTCCCCCTAACCCTCTCCCTGCACAGATCCTCTGTCAAGAGAAAACGTTCTTACATGCCCCAAGTTTGCTGTGAGAGCAGAGTTACTTTTCTTCAGCTAACCCTTTGTGTAAAAAAAAAAAAGCTAACCAAAGGCTGAAACGCCCTTTCAACGTGTTTTCAGGCGCCCACGTACCCAAACCACATTCAGGGCGAAGTCTTTTCCCTTAATGGGTTTGATGTTGTGTCAGCTGATTTATTCTGCTGCTTGTTAAAGGCAGAAATTGGGTCCAGATGTTCTCACAGTTCTGGTTTTAGGGACGCGAGCATGGAAGAAATCTGGGCCAGTGAGCAGGAACAGGGAAACACTGCGGTTAGAGAGACAGACGTGACATGCTGCCTGGGTTTTTGCCTCTCTCCTTTATTCAAGCCTTCAGTACCTGTGCTGGTTTTGATTTGGCTGTTGTAATGTCATTCTCTGAACCAAGCCTCCTACAGAACATGCTTAGGGAAAGGCAGATTTTAAAAATCCGTCACAATTATTCCTGATCTGTGCCAGGTCAATGGCAGCAGCCATCAGGGATGCCGGCGTTGAATGGTCCAGCCTTAGCTCTGGGAATGCTGACACTGAGTGGTCTATCTTTGGCTTTGGGTCCATCCTTGGCTTTGCATTCTGGGAGAGCACTGAGATTGACGGGGACTCAGGCCTGAGATTAAGCTGAACAAGGACATCACTGCATAGCCAGTTCTCAAACCTGAGGCCTACAGATCGTTCGGACCAGTTTAATGCTTTGGAATGTTCAGTGATTTCCTTTTCAAAACATCCCAGAAGTTTGAGCCCAACCCTGGGACGTGTTTTAGGGAAGAAGGCAGACTGACAGGGGAGATTTTCTCTTCTCCTGGTTTCCATTGTGCTGAGGTGGTTGTAGAGGCTTTGCAGTTTCATTCCCTTGTGTGGTGCCCACCCGCACCCCCACCCCACCCCTGCCCCGGAGCTGGGGGCTTCAGGCTAGCTGTTTGCATTGTGTGTGAAAATGCTTCAAACTATGTACCTGTGCTGCAAGGAAATTCAGGGGCATGACTTTGACTCTGCCCGTGTTCTCCTCAATGGTAAACAAAAAGTAGGTTTTTATTGATTGGTAGATTATCTGCTTGGTTGGTTAGCTGTTTAGTTGGTTGGTTTTTGGAGACAGAATCTCACCCTTTAACCTGGGTGGCTACATACTCACCAGGACCCTGTGTCATCAGCAACCCCGTCTTTGAAGGGTAGATCAGAATCACACGCGGCTCAGCGGGCTTGACAGACAGCCCGGTTTTGCAGGCTCTTGGAGCCATGCAAGTGTTTGCATCTGGCATGTTGGCGAGCCAGTCCCAGCAGGACAAAATGGCTGTGGCTGTCTCTGTTTAAGGCTAGAAGTAGGTTGTCATCAGAGTGAAGCAGAGGCTGTAAAACGTGGAAGGTTGCCCGAGTCCTGTCTAAGAACCCTCTTTGGAGAGAGTGGTTAGTAACCGTCAAGGGAGAACTCCAGCTGCCTCGTGTTTGAGGTAATCCCTGATGTTCAAGGGGATTGTAGGAAATGAGTGTGTCCTTGGTAAGGAATCACAAAATAAAATGGTTTCCACCGACAAACAGATGAACCAGGAATGCAAACTCTTCCAAGTATAAACTTAATGTGATTGGAACTTATGGTGGTCCGATGCTTTAACACAGGCTGCTTGCACAGTGCACCAGACTGTAGAAAGGATTGGGCAGCATGCTAACATGTGGAAGGTGTGTGTGTGTGTGTGTGTGTGTGTGTGTGTGTGTCTGCGAATCTGTGTGTATGTCTGTGTCTGTGTGTCTGTGGTATGTGTGTCTGTGAGTCTGTGTGTATGTGTCTGTGTGTGTCTGTTTGTGTATGTGTCTGCGAGTCTGTGTGTATGTCTGTGGCTGTGTGGCTGTGGTATGTGTGTGTGTCTGTGTGAGTCTGGGGGGGGTATGTGTGTGTGTCTGTGGTGTGTGTGTGTCTATAGTGTGTATGTCTGTGTGTCTGTGTCTGGGAGTCTGTGTTTGTGTCTATAGTGTGTGTGTCTGGTGTGTGTGTGTCTGGTGTGTGTGTGTGTGTCTGGTGTGTGTGTGTCTGTGGTGTGTGTGTGTCTGTGGTGTGTGTGTGTCTGTGAGTCTGTGTGTGTATGTGTCTGTGGTGTGTGTGTGTCTGTGAATCTGTGTGTGTATGTGTTTTTTCGTGCGTACATGCATGCGGAGAACTGCTGTACCATTCCAGAAGACGTCATTATCCTGCACAGTCCAGTGAAGTCAGAGTTACTTTATTAGGACATTTCTCATTCCATATGCGAAAGAGCGGACAGACATGCGTTCATGGTCTGACTTACAAGCAGAAGGGTTATGACAAAGAGAAAATGGCGGTTTTGTCAAAATTGAGCAAAGCATTTATCGTGTGGGGGCTGTGGTGTCCCACTAAAACCGCAAAAAAAAAAAAATGAAGCTACGGACTCAGCTAATAACTTTTAGATTTGTGCAGAATTAGCAAATTGTTTCAAGATGACGGAAATGCTTCCAAAAAGTGAATTCACAAGCAGGTGTTTCAGCTCTTAGCCCCGCGGGAAGGTTTAAGGTGTTAGCAGTTGCCTGGCCATCTAGCTGCAAGAGCACGGCTCGTGTGGCAACCATGGGGACGGAGGGCCGCATGGCGTTCGGCACCATCGAGGGCTGACCGTCTGTCTCCCTTGCTTTGCAGCAGTACCGCGAAGAGCTGGACGCCAGATTCAACGCTGACAAATTCAGATGGGACAAGATGTGTCACAGAGAAGCTGCGGTGATGTTGAAAGCTTTCTTCAGAGAACTCCCCACCTCCCTCTTCCCCGTGGAGTACATCCCGGCCTTCATCACTCTGATGGAAAGTAGGTGACCAAGTTAAACGCAATGGGACAGGGACAGAAGGCTGGTGCGGTGTGTGAGCCACCGAGTCGTCCACAGTGAAGTGTGTTACAGCGAGAGCTGCCGAGTGCCTTTTCCTGTGGACACCGGGGTGAATCACCATGTACAGCAGGCACCCCTGGGTTTGCATCTCTAAACCTGATAGATGTTCCTTTTTTTTTTTTTTTCCAGTCCTGGAATTTCCAATTGATGCTTTTAAATATTTTAATTTGCCTGTTGAGGGCAAATTGTATGCATTAAAAAAAAACTGTTTTTGAGACCTGCTTTGAAACCTTGTCTGCTAGTGCCCGCCCCCCAGGGTCATCTCCTGATCCTGGTCTTCTCTGAGAATGGGTACACGCTCTTCTTTGTATATGAAGTTGGTTTAGATTTTGTTCTGGGTGTTGGGTCTGACTGCTGTGCTTAAAGAGGTCATTTGCTTGGTGGGACCAAAGATGCCACCAGTCTCTGGTACAGCATCTCAGCATTTGGTGTGTGTGTGTGTGTGTGTGTCTGTGTGTCTCTGTGTGAGTGTGTGTGTGTGTGGATGTGTCTGTGTGTGTCTGTGTGTGTATGTGTCTGTGTGTGTGTCTATGTGTGTCTGTGTGTGTCTGTGTGTGTGTCTGTGTCTGTGTCTGTGTGTCTGTGTGTGTCTGTGTGTGTGTCTGTGTCTCTGTGTGAGTGTGTGTGTATGTCTGTGTGTGGGTGTCTGTGTGTGTGAGTGAGTGTGTGTGTCTGTGTGTGTGAGTGAGTGTGTATGTGTGTGTCTGTGTGTGTGTCTGTGTCTGTGTCTGTGTGTCTGTGTGTGTCTGTGTGTGTGTCTGTGTCTCTGTGTGAGTGTGTGTGTATGTCTGTGTGTGGGTGTCTGTGTGTGTGAGTGAGTGTGTGTGTCTGTGTGTGTGAGTGAGTGTGTATGTGTGTGCCAGAGGTTGACTTCAGGCACCCTTCTCTGTCCCTCTCCACTTCTCATTTGTTGTTTCTGTCTAACACAGTATCTCTGCCTGGACCTGAAGCTCACATTACGCCCACACTGGCTGGCCAGAGAGCCCCGCGAATCTGCCTGCCTCCATCCCTAGCATTAAGGTTATAAGTGTTTGTCACCAAACCAAGCTTTTGATGTAGGTGGAGGGCATCCAAACCTGGGTGCTCACGTTTGCCTAGGCAGCCAGCCTTCCAGTTGGGTTTCCACCCTTTGTTTTGTGCCTCGAGAATTGGTATGGCTTCTTCTAGAAGCAGAGCCTCATCTCTCTGCATCTCGCCGCCCCATAACATTCCACGGTCCAGTGTCTGACCAGACAGTGCAGGATTATCTACTTATCTGTGCACTGAGTCTTTTGTCATCTTAACACTGCATGGACTACTGATGTCCGGAAAAGTGGGCCACTTGCCCTGCCTTGAGTTTGCTGGTCTCTCCGGTCCTGTTCCCTCTCCTCAACTCTGGTGGTTGCTAATGCTTTTCCGAGACTGTCATTGTCACCTGTAGGACCACACGTCGGCCAGATACTGTGCCATGCCGCATTTTCCTGTTTTAGGAAACACGTTCGTAACACTGGTTCCCCTGGAAAATGAGCACCACAAACTAGTTCCCTCCTTCTTCTGTGTTTATAGTCACCAAACCCCTGCATAGTGGATCTGTGTGTCACTGAAGTGTGAATTTATGTAAGGGGGACCCAAGCCGCCCACACCAGAGCTACTCAGAACTGCTGGGCAGAGGGCGCCAGCAGGAAGGCGTTTGCTTTTGTAAGCATTAAGGACCTGGTTTCAACCCAGAGTCGGTGTAAACACCCTGGCATGGTGTGCCCTCGTGCAATCCTGGTGGTGGAAAGATTGGGGATACAGATGGGCTGGGCCCGAAAGCACATTGGCCAGATAGTCTACCTAACCTGGGAAAGTTCCAGGCCAATTAAAGGTCCTGTCTTAGTGAAAGGTGGAGGACACTGAGGGACAACACTGGAGGTTGTCCTCCAATCTCCACACATGAACGTGCATGCACGTGTAAGCTCACACACGCACACACACAGGCACACACACACAGGTACGCACACAGACACACACACATACGTGCACTTGTGCACGTGCATACACACAGGAATCTAAGCTCCCTTCCCACCATCATTCCCCACTGCAATCGAGACTGAAAACCAGCCTGAGAGAGTCCACAGAGTCACGTATGCTTCTCCGTGGAACTCAGAGAGAGGGAAAGGCCAGTGATTGCTTTCATACGGCCAGCTCTGCCAGAAGCTCAGAGCAATGGCCCATGACCAGTGGGGAGATGATTGTCTTTTTCTGCAGCCTGAAGGAAGCACACATTGCAATGGGATTTTGTGTGTGTGTGTGAGTGAAGAGGAAGCCATGAACATATCTGTGCGCACGAGCCTGTGTTGGAACTACGTTCTTCATACGCATGCGGGGGTTGAGAAAGCACAGATTAGCTACCACTCACGCAGCCATTGGCGCTTTTCAGTCTCAGCCTCCCCATTGCTGGTTGAGCGTAGGACTAGGTAGTTCATCCGCCGGACGTAGGTAGTTCCAGGAAGAGTGTAGTGAATTTCTAGGGAAATAACAACCACCTCTGGAGAAAGACAGATCCATGCAAGCATGTGCGAAATGAGTTAGCCACAACCTTTCAGCAGGCAAGTGTGCGGCCAGGTTCTGTCCATAAGATGCAGATGTGAAATCTGCCCAGTTAGACGTACAGTTATAAAGGAGGCTTTGCCATGTTCTGAGACGGAAGGAAGGGTTGCCACTCCTACCCTTGGGCCTGCTTCTGTTGTCTTTCTCTCTGGGGCGTTCAGGGTCTGATTGCATATGAGGGAAGGCTCTCAGCCTCCGTTCATACAGGAAACCAGTGTCCCGTCTGTGCTTGGCACTGGACAGTGTCTTCATAGGCCCTGCTACTTATGCACACTCACAGCCATGTACGTTAGCCTTTTCCATGTTATTCTAGGCCTATGGTTCGTCCTTTTTAAAGGCTACCTAAAATCAAGCGGATTTTGCTGGTCACATCTGCGGGTGTGCCCCCACACGCTCCCACACAGGGGGTGTACACTTGTCACCAGCTCCCCAACTCCAGCACTCGCAATTTCCGCTGTTGCAGTAGGTTCTCGCTTGAAGTTTGCGCTGCTGTGACGCCCAGTGCTCTTAGGAGCAGTCGATGGCCTGCAGCCACAGACTGTGAATTGACTGGAGGGGTGCCCTTCAGCTTGAGATCTCCCCCAGGGCTCCAGAGCATCCTGCCTCCCGCAGACACTTGCAGGAGAGGATACAGAGAGGTGAAGGAAAGCCTGCAATGGACTCTTAAATTTCCAGCCTGGATGCTAACCCTCTGGCGCCATCTTGTGTCAGTCGGGAATTAAAATCTCCACACTCTCCAAAACCAGCTAGTGACCTCTCCTAAATGTCTATGTGAGATAGGGAATAAATAGCATTGGTCATAAAACCAACGTGCCCACACATGAGGTGACGACTGTGTCTAGGTACCGACCCAAACATTGTGCGCACATTAACTTACTTCATCCTCATGCCAGCCCTATGAGCCGCATAAGGTTTTATAGATGGCAGAATGGAAGCAAAAAGAGTTAAATGACTTAGCTCTGAATGCAGGTTCGACTCTGGGCCTAGAGCATGCATCCTTAGTCGCTATACGCTGCTGCATCCTTGAGTGCAGCATTAGTTTGCTCTCGGATTGATATTTGCCTTCTGTTTGTGGAGTAAGGCTAGGTGTGTGGACACTCTTTGGGAAGGAAACTGTCATATAAATCTCAAATTATCTAAAGCATCTTCTTGGCTACCGGCCTATAAACAGGCATCACGGGACTGAAAGGGGGTGACAGACTGGGGCTCCTGTCCAAATGAGCAAATTAGCATTGTTGCGCTCCCAGCCTGAGTCCTTCTCACTCAGCTGACAGGGCCCTCCTGCGCCACCAGATGCCAGCGCGATTGCTGTCAGAACACATCAGCGTGGTGTCACGCGTGTGACTATTTCTGCTTTCTCGTTTAGGAGGGCCCCACATCAAAGTGCAGTTTCAAGCGCTGCACCTCATGGTCATGGCCCTGCCTGACGCCAACAGGGACACAGCCCAGGTAAGTGGCATTGACCGACCTCATAATCTGTCACGGGGCCCACCTGGGGACAGGGGAAGTGTGACAACTCACGGGGCCATCTGTGGGGTGCCACCCCACTGCCTTGCATACTTCCAGTGTCGTTGTGTTGAGGGAGACACAAAGAATGGAAATTCTAGAGGACTCTCTCTGGACATTAACATTTTAGTCCCCTCCGCTCAGTTGGGGTGCACCGGGTGTCTGAACAGACACCAGGATGAAGGGTGGGGAACGGGAAAGATGAAGATGAGAGGATATGGCTACTCTGACCTGGCTCCGTAGTCAGTGAGAAGGGTTAGCTCCTCTACCGTCCCGTGACTTCTCCCAGCTGGTGGGATGGTACTGATGGGCCTCTGTGCAGGGTGGGCATCTCAGACCACTGGGCTGCCAGATTTCTAACACGGCTCTGCCCTGGGACATATACACGCAGTACAGTTTAAGCAGTCTGAGGTCTTAGGAGGTTAGATGTAGAGTCTGACCACTTTCCAGAGTGGAAAGACAAAGCCCAGAGAAGGGGCTGCTCTGCTGACAGGCGACAGGGCCCCTGGCATCCGTAGCTCTCTTCCCTTCCTCTCAAATCCGGTCTTTGTCGTGTGTCAGTAAAATGTGAGCTTCTCTTGCTGTTTTGGGGCTGAGTGAGACATGAGCTGAAGGAGCCCTTGACGTTGAGGCCAGCCAAGAGGATGCAGAGAGCAACGAAGTCAGATTGCTTTCTGTCTACATGGTTTTGGGGGTGGGGGAGGTAGATACCTTTCCCCACTGGGCGGGAACACTTCTGTCGATTTACAAACAGGTGGCACATGCCTGCAACCCTAGCCTTGGGATTGCTGAGAAATCCCAGGCCCACGTGGTCTACATGGCTGGACCTGGTTATCCTAGCCTGTCGCCACATCATAAAACACAGCATTGCCTTACATCCTCAATGCAAGGGTAGGGGCCGGCAAAAGCATGGAATATCAGTTTTTAATATCTTTCGGTATTTTTCTGATTTGTTTTTGGGCATTGCCTAAACAATGCTGTTTTATCACAAAGCCCATCCAATACCAGATGTGTTAGTGAAAATGTCGTCAACCTTTTCATGTGCCCGAGGATGTAACAATTAACAAGTAATTCTGCACGCTCCTAATAAAAAGTCCCAGAGAAAACCTGTGGGATGAGGCTCACTTACCTACATGCACATGCAAGCACAGTCTTCCCGCTCTAGTATGCCTGGAGCCGCTAGCTGTGGAGAAGGCAGCAACACGTCTGGAGAATGGATTTCTTTAATTCAGACCCTCGGCGCCAGCATTTAACTGACGGATGCTGGGCGGAGCTCTTCATTCCTTCCCACCCTGATTTCCTACCTGTGCAACAGTTATAATAGCTTCTGCCTCGTAGGGTTTAGACAGCTAATGAGTGGAGGAAAACAAGTGTGAGTCACTGAGAATAATGCCTGAGTCAGAGTAAACACTCAAATAAGTGTTAACTAGTACTGTTATACACAGCGCGAATAAGGAAAAACCCAGATACAGAGAGTGGGGTTAAAGCTGAAGACCAGAGAAGCAGAGAGGCCAGAGGGTTCTCTCCTCTACCAATGCTCAGACCGAAGGGGCGATCTACCGAACTGCAAACTGCTTCCAACTGCACTGAGAATGCAATGCCTTCCTGTCTCCTCCTGCCTTATATTCTTCTCTCCGCCCACCCATATCCCTTCCTGTCTCCACCTTCCTAGTGCTGGGATTAAAGTTGTGAGCTCTGTTTCTCTTTTAGACTGATTCACTCTCATGTAGCCCTGGGTGGCCTTGAACTCACAGAGATCCATCTGCCTCTGTCGCCCGAGTGCTAGGATTAACGGTGTGTGCCACCACTGCCTGGCCGCTGTGGTTATGGCTAGCCTTGCACTTTGATCTTCAGGCAAAGCTTTCTTAGATCATAAACAAAACCATTGCCAAAGTTACATGTTAGACATTTCGTAATCAAAATGACCATGAGATGTCTCAGTCAATAAAGTGCTCCATATGGAATAATGAGAACCTGAGTTTGGATCCCCCATTAGCCACGGGAAAGTCACTGCGACAGTGCGTATCTATAATCCTGCCACTATGGAGGAAGGAACAGGAGTACTCCAGAGGCTTGCTGGCCTGCCACACTAGCTACAGTAGCAACCTTCAGCTTCAGTGAGAGATACTGTGTCAAAAAATAAAATAAGTCTGCCAGAGTTCAATCCCCAGATCCCACAGACACAGACAGGACAGGACAGACTCTCAAGGGTTGTTCTCTGACCGACCTCCACATGTGTTCTGTAATGCGTGCATGCCTATTTACACACACAAGCTGATACATGTACACACACACACACACACACACACACACACACACACACACACACACTGGTAGAATCCAGCCTTGAGAGAGCAAAGCAATTCCCTCTGGGTGAAGGGCCAAAGTGCACTTTAAAAATTACCACGCTCCTCTCTTTCTTCTAATGCTTGCAAAAGATGCACACAAACACTTGCTGGGCCAGGGGAAGATTCCATAATTACAAAAAGCAATCAGAAGAGCCAGGCACGGTGCTGCATGCATGTGATGCCAGCACTCGGGAAGCCGAGGCAGGGGGATCACAAGTTGGAGGCCGTTTTGAGCAAGAAAACAGCAGGAAGATGATACATCTAAAGCGATGTTTTAAAACCTCCAGCTGCATTTGTGTTTGTACCGAGTATGAAGAGGCTTCTGTTGTTTAAATGGTTTTTCATTTCTCAAGGAAATGGTAAACTCGCATTGGCAACAGTGCTTTCAGTTAAGGGGGGCGGCTTACCTAGAGAATTCGTTTTCTTCCTTCACAACGAAACTGCATTTTATTTTGCTTGGGCTGCAGTGTTTGCTCTCCCGGGTTGATGTTTAATTTCAACATTTGTCAAGCTTGTTTAGGATAAAGAGTAAGTCTATTATCTGTAGACTCCATGGTAATAAGCCCTAAGAAGGGAATTACGTTATGAAGCAGGCAGTTGAATTAACTGCTCACTTTTCTTCTGCTAAGCAACTTAAAGGGACACAGAACACATTTGTTCATACTTGCCTGCTGACACTTTCCCAGCAACACAGTGAAGGGGTTCTGGGGATGAATGGCCACCATCTGGGAAGCCTGTTGGTGATTCACAATAGAGTGACACGGTCCCCCTGTGTCTTGTTAGTGGTTCATAGTAGGGTGACACTGTTCTCCTGTCCCTTGTTAGTGGTTCACAGTAGAGTGACTTGGTAGGGTGACACTGTCCCCCGTCTCCTGTTAGGCTCTGATGACATTCTTCAATAAAGTGATCGCCAATGAGTCGAAGAACCGCATGAGCCTGTGGAACATTTCTACGGTGATGGCGCCAAACCTGTTCTTCAGCAGAAGCAAACACTCTGACTACGAAGAGCTGCTGCTAGCCAACACCGCAGCCCACATCATCCGCCTGATGCTGAAGTACCAGAAAATCCTGTGGAAGGTGAGTGACAGCTCTATATGGCTGTCGAGTGTCCCTACGAAATATGCCAGCCGAGGGGAGCCTTAAATGCCCCGGGGGACAAGAAACTCTTGGAGACAAAATGAGAATAAAATGAGTCACGGTTGCTTGTGGAATCCTTGCTCGGCCAGCCTTCCCCAGCCACGGGTTATTCAGCTCTGGAATTAACCAACCGTAACTCCGACTCTCTTCCCCAAATTTTTGTGTCTGTACTGAACAGTCGTGTCATTAGGCCCTAAATAAATACAATAAAACCGCGCCTTACACGGCGTTTGCATTGGATTAGATATTGTGAATCATAGAAAGGTGATTTGAAGTATAGTGGGGGATTCATGGAGGTTATGTGCAAACCTAAGGGGTTCCTGGAACCAACTCCCCTTGGAGATAACAGTACCTTCTTTAAACGGGTTCTACGTGTTCTAAGCATGATGGAAATCCTCATCACCACTTTTCTAATCTCAGTGACAAATGTCACAGCTCCCGCTCCAAGATAACGGGGCGTTAAAGGCAGTCTCCACAAACAAAGGCTGACTCTACCAGGGTGCTCTGTGCAGGGTTTCCCTCCAGTCAAGCCCCTTTCTCCCGCAGGTCCCTTCCTTCTTGATCACCCAAGTAAGAAGGATGAACGAAGCCACCATGCTGCTGAAGAAGCAGCTCCCGAGCGTGAAGAAACTGCTCAGGAGGAAGACCCTGGAGCGGGAGGTGAGAGCATCAGCAGAGCGAGGGTGGACCCCAGCAGGGTAAAGGATACATCCCAGCAGGGTAAAGGATACATGCAGCTCATAGATACCCTTATTGCAATGTCTGCATCACCCTTATTGACATGACATAGGTGATGTCTTCTTGGAGAAAACCAACCTTGTTTTCTGTGCTGGGGATCAAACTGTGCAGATGCTAGGCAGCCACGCCATTAGGAAGCCACACTCACAGCCAGGACCAGCAGGTTTGTTCATTTGAAGGGTTTTTTTGGATGAAGACCAACATCCAGACATCCTTCAAGACAGTTTCTTTAGAAACTATTGAAACTGTGTTATTCAGCAGTTTGAATGTGTGTGGCTGGTCTTTTTTTTTTTTTTTTTTTTTGACCGTGTAATAACTTTTACTAAAGACTAGACACTCTTGAGTATTATAGTATGGCCACTTCATAAATCGGATCCACAGGGCTCAGGCCACAGCTTAGTGATAGAGAGCTTGCATGAGGACTTGGGTGTAATCTCCAGAAGCAGCGCGCGCACACACACACACACACCTCCCCCCCCACACACACACACGCACACACACACAAAACAAAACAACAGAGCTCCTCCCCTCTAGCTTGTCCGCCTGGTCTTCCTATGCTCGTCTATGGATGTGCACGTGGCCCTCTGACTCCCAGAAACACGTGAGTGCCAGCATTTTCAGTTACGTAGTATTTCCACAGCTGTTACCCATTACAGTAGATAACCAGGCACACAACTCTTGCCTACAAATGTTCACAGCGTTGTGCCCACAGTTCTGACAAGTTCCAAGACAGGTAACGTACAGGCAGGCCAATAGAGTTCCCGGGATAAGTCACAAGTAGTTGGAATTCTTGGCAAGCGAGGCTCATCCTTTTGTCCACACGTCCAGGATGCAGGCAGCGACAAGCCCCGGGTACAGGTGCAGGCTGTTCGTCTCCAGTCTTAGGCTGCGCTGAGGATCGGGTGTGGGGAGAGGGGAAGTGATGGGAGGGTTGTAGGTGGCAGGCCACTGTGAGCTACCTGCTGAGGCCAAGGTTAGCCGCATCCTGAGACCCTGCCTCAAAGCAAAACAACAGCAACCATAGAACTCCGCACAGCCTGCTGGTCTCTGGCGGTGCAGCCGGTTTCATCCTCTTACAGGCTGCCGGTGGTCCCTAGAAGGCGCGGGGTCCTGTCCTCATGCTCTCCCGTTCTCTCACAGCCTGCTGGTCTCAGGCAGTGCATACCGGCACACCACGTCCCAGGCTCCGAAGATGCAACAGGCCCCGTCCTCATGCTCTCCCTTGAGTGCACTCTTAGACTGGACTCTGACAGGTCCAGACTCTCTTGCCCTTGTCATATTCATCCTGGGAGGTTTAGTGACAGGAAGGATGATATGGCATGGAGTTAAAGCCAGGGGCTTTAGAAGGGCCTAGTTCACTTCAGTTCCTACTTTGAGCCTTGGCGTGCTTGGCGTGGGGAATTCCGGACTGGGGATGGCGTCTGCTTCACGGTCTTGTCATTGGGATGGATTCTCACGGTGTGTGTGAGATGCGTTGTAAGCTCTGTGGTGTGGTAGGAATGCCGGCTGTTAGAAGGATTTGATGGTCTACGGGAGCAAGCGCCGAAAGACAGGACGCTTTGATTCCCTTGTGCCAGGCCATGCTTTAATGTTTCCATTGGAATAAAGAAGTAACTAACAAGTTACAAACTCTGAGTCATTGATAAGAGCTAGTGGGGCGTCTCAGCCTGAAAACCCCGAGTTCAGTCCTGGGGACCCACACGGTGGAGGGAGGGAACTGACTCCCCAAAACTGTCCTGCAGCCCGCACAAACACACACATGGCCAATCAGTCACTCAGTAAGTAAATGAATGTGATGGAAACATGGAAAGGCTGTAGAATAAAATGTTGTCGCTGCCGACTTCCTCTCTGGGAGAAAACAACACTGAAGGTAGGATGCATGTCCACTGAAGCTCACGCAGCTGTGTGCAACCAGCTGCTTTGTGCTCGTTTGGGCCGCCTAGATGGGCGAACCCCACACGGCACCCCGTTGGTTTGCCTTATGACTTGAGCGTCAGCGAGTAAACCAGTATATATGTGTCATTGCTTTTCGTGGTCGAAATATGTTTTATTTGTAGATGAGGGACTGTGGGGGGGTCAAAGGGCACGCACACTTTATAACTTGATAAGAGCCCAACTATTTTCCACAAGGATTACACCAGCCAGAAGCAGCCTGTGTTTACAATCCCGGGGTTAATCTGAAAGACAGAATATGTTTTCTTTAGGTTTCAAGCCCCAAGACCTCAAAGGTACCACAGAAGTCACCTTCAAGAAGAATGGTAAGAATGGGTTTTCTTTCCAGCTAATGTAGTGTGTGTGTGTGTGTGTGTGTGTGTGTGTGTGTGTGTGTGTGTGTGTGTGCAGGGTATGCTGGGAACTGAACAGAGGGCACCGTGTACACTAGGCAAGTGGAGAAGCTTCTAGCACTTCTGTCACGGTTCATCCCTGACATCTCACTGTGTAGCCAAGGCTGGCCTCAAACTAAAGCCCTCTTGCCCCCGTGAGCCGAATACCCTGATCAGAGGCATGTGCCACCGTGTCCAGCCCCCATAACTACTAACTCCCTATGACTCTGTGACCACATCCACTACGTCCTTGGGCCTCAGTCTGTCCTTCAAGCTTGTTCTTTCCAGTTTGCACAGGAAGCAATGACACGGGAGCTTCCGCTGATGACTCGGGTGCATGGTTAGGTAAATGTACAGAGGTCAGAAGGAAGGACACCAAAGCTATGCAGTCCGATCTGTTAAGAGGCCCGATGCTGGGGGATGACCACGGGCATCTGGGAGCTGAGAGGAAAAGGTCCTGAGTCTCTGGAGAGGGTGTTGGGAATGTGGTGCTGACTGTAGTAAGCCATGGTCTCTGCCTTCGCTAACCCAGCTCCAAACCCTCCCGCGTTGACTCCCTGGTGTAGTTCTTGATGCTGATATTAGGAGCTAATGTAAGAACTGACGCAATTTTAAAATACTCAGCTTTAGTTTCCTGGGGCTACCATAACAACATACCACAGATAGGGTGGCGGAGACAATAGAGATTTATTTATAGTCTTCTGATTTTGGAAGTTAAAATCTGAGTTATAGCATCCGTAGAGTTGGCTTCCTCTGAGCACTCTGAGGAAAAGATAAATCTGGTCTCTTGCACTAGCCTTAGGTGATGCCAGCAGATGTATCCCCCTAGTCTCTGCTCTTGCCTTCCTGTGGTGTATCACTGTGTGTCCTGTCTGTCTATATCACTGTCTTCCTGTGGTGTCTCACTGTGTGTCCTGTCTGTCTATATCACTGTCTTCCTGTGATGTCTCACTGTGTGTCCTGTGCCTGTTCTTTTCTCCTTAGGACACAGGTCTCACCAGAGGAAGATATTTTGGATTTACTTCATCATTACTACTCACTCTAGTCTTGAGCTTATTTCCAAAGAGGGGTGACAGTCTGAGGTTCTGGGGGTTAATTCTTCAGTATATTATTCCAAGAGACCAGTTAACACGGTGTTCTAAGATATACATAGTGTCAGTTCACACATGTGTGTACACATATGTGTGTATGTGTTTGTGTGTGTGTTTATGTATAAATCTTAAAATAAGGTTTTTAGGATATTGTTCAATAAAGATACTGATAAATATTAGATGTACATGTAAAGATAAATATCATTAGATATATATATACACATATATATTGTTCACTGAAGATACTGATAAGTATTTCACTAGATACATTTGTGTGTGTATATATATATGTATGTATTAATTAATGTAGGTTTTTAGGATATTGTCCATTAAAGGTACTGATAAATATCACTGGATACTTTCTTCTCTGTGATCCCAAAGCATTTGGGTGAGGCCTAAGTGTAAAGAGCGTACACTCACTCCCAGGTCGGGTGTAGTCACTGGTCTTCTGGCAGAGCAGGAAGGCCTTGTCCACTCTGGTCGAGTACTGGTCGTGCGGATGTGCACTCCTCATTCTGAATGTCCCTCGCGATTTCCACCTCGCGAGTGCAGTCGTTGAAGCCAGGTTTGACAGTGTTTTTGCTCTCCCCTCGTTGGCAGTCTGACGTGCCAGAAGGCGTCATAAGGGTCCACGCTCCACTTCTGTCCAAAGTGTCAATGGCCATTCAGCTCAACAGTCAGACCAAAGCCAAAGACATCCTGGCGAAGTTTCAGTATGAGAACAGGTGAGTGCGCCGGCCTGAAGGTAGCGTGCGGTGCGGAAGATGCACTTTAGCAGGTGGGGCACTCCTCTCCTGCAGCTGCGGCTTTGGGATTTGACAAGTGCATTACAAGGGTTGCAAGTTAGGATAGTTAGACAGCAGCACTGTCGCCAACTTAAAGGAGTTGGCACACATAGGATCCATTGTTAAGATGTATTTTTATCTTTTATTCATGTGCGCCTGTATCTGCCACGTGTGAAGGTGCCACGGGCAGTTGTGAGCCACCTAGTGTGGGTGCTGGGAATTGAACTCAGTTTACTGGAAGACAGATGAGCCTTCTTAAAGGCTGGGTCTTCTCTCCAGCCCCCGTGATTCTTCTCTTGAAGAGTTATTTGATCAATGAAATTTATCTTTTATTGGGGTGAAAAGTATGGCAGTTAGTTTTGTCACTATCTTGGTCAATTTCCAGAAGTATTATGTAAGCTCCCTGGACACCACATCTGCCCCTTCAAAAGCCTGAGAGCAGTCATTGCCAGCGTCTAAATGACTTCCACAGCGCTCATGCATCTCCAGAAGCAACCATAAAATAACACTAGCCGTCCTTACAGGAATACAGACTTGATGGAAACGCCTTACATAACCTATGGTTTTCAAAGGACAAGAAGCACCTATTTAAATATATTAGTTGGAATGTAGATGGGGTTTGATCATTTCTAGTGAAAGTCACGTGTATCCTTAAGCATTTGGAACAAATTCAAAAGCAGTAGCCTTCTTTGGTCGAGAGAGCTCTTTGCATGAGTGTACATGCTGTATGATTTCATTCATATAACAGCTCTGAAATGACAGATGTTATAAATGGGGGGGTAAGTTAATGATTATATTTGGGGAAGACAGACGTGGTTATAAAGGAGCAACATGAAGGATGCTGGTAGAATTAGAACTCTGGTACTGAACTCTTGACTGGGATGGGGGTGGGTTGACAGGTTTCTCTGGCAGTGTGTTGAACTTAATGCTCTGTGAACCCAGCTGTCACTGTGTCTGAACATGCTGGGTAGACTTTGATATCCTGATTGGGGCATGATAGTATAGTTTTACAAAATGTTACCACTGGTGAAATGAACGCAAAGAATCTGTTTTGTCTTTACAGTTGTATGTAAAGCTGTAATGGTTCACAGAAATAGAAACAGCAGAAGGCAGAAACAGGCTATGATGGTAGACATCAGTCTTTTTTCAGGTTTTGGAGCATGGGAGGCATTGGGACTGAAAAGCATGTCCTTGGATTCCATGAGGGCTGGTCAACTGTTATGTTCATTTTGCAAATCCTTCAGGTTATAGACTTGTGATTCATGAACTTTATGGGTAGGCATGCGGGTGTGCGCACACATGCGCACGCGTGCACACACACACGCATGCACACGCACACACTCCACATGCACACTTAAAAAATTGCATTAAACTCCAGCTAAACAAGACACACAAAGGAGAAAAGACCAAAGGGAAGAAGGTGGCTCCTGTCCCTACCTTTGTAAAGAAACCGGAAGCCAAAAAGGTGGCGAGTCCTCTTTTTGAGACAAGGCCTAAGAGCTTTGGCATTGGACAGGACATCAACCCAAAAGAGATCTCACACACGTCATCAAATGGCTGGCTATATCAGGCTGCAGCAATAAAGGGCCACCCTCTATAAGCGTCTCAAAATAACCCCCTGCCATTAATCAGTTCCCTCAGGCCTTGAACCAGCACACAGCTACCCAGCCACTTGAGCCTGCCTACCTACTGGCCCACACTGAGATGCTGGCAAAGGGGGCATCCCAACTAAAAGACCACCCCACCGTCCTTCAAGCAGGGGTCAGTACAGACACCACCTTGGTGGAGAACAAGAAGGCTCATCTGGTGGTGACTGCCCACAGCAGAGACCCCAATGAGCTGGTGGTCCTCCTGCCTGCCCTGTGTCACAAGATGGAGATCCCCTACTGCATCATTAAGGGGAACGCCAGACTGGGGCGACTGGTCCACAGAAGACCTGTGCCAGTGTCTGTTTCCCTCACAGAGGTTAATTCCGAAGACAAAGGGCAAAGAACATGCCACTGAACTGGGTTAAATGTGCGCTGCTGAGTCTTCTGCACATAAATATCATTTTAAAAGTTACCTTCAGAAAAATTGGGTTAGATAGGAAAAGAAGAGCATATAGAGTGAAGATTTCCCGCCAGCCTGGTTCCAGAGCCTCATCAGTCCCAAATGAACACGCAGCAAGCTATATTAATTATGAAGCTGTTGGCTGTTTTCTTGATTTCTTACTGGCTAGCTCTGACTTAAGTATTTATCCCATCATTGTAAATCTAACTATTTCTCTTACCAGAGAAATGGTCCAGACTCTTACCCCTATGGCGGCTACATTGTGACTCCCTATGTTTCTCCTTCCCAGAATCCTCCTTGACTCCTAGTCCCACCTATCCTGTTTCCCTATTGGCCAACAGTGCTTTATTCAACAACCAGTAAGAGACAAATTTACAGAATAGCAACTCCCATCAAGAGCAGATCAGTTAACAGGAGTTGGAATAGTCGTGTGACTCTATTTCTGGCCCAGGCGTCTTAAAATACCATAGTTGTCATACGTAGGTGGCCATATAAAAAGTTGAAATCTTATTGCAAGGATGTTGGCATCTGGTAAATTACAAAACCCTCAACTGTACCCCTGTGGAAAGAAAATGCTCTGGTCTGGTGAGATGGGTTAGTGGGTCAAAGGTGTTTGCTGTCAAACTTGATGACCTGAGTTGGATACCCAGGACACACGCAGCAGGAAGAGCCCACGGTTGTCCTCCAACTCCCAATCATGTGCCATGGCACATGCAGCCCTTCCGCAAATAAGTAAATGGAATATTTTGTGGAGACGGTATCCTAATAAAAGTAAAGTAGGTGTGGTGACTAATAGATAGAATCGAATCCTCTGGCACAACCTCTCACTTAGAACTGTGGGTATTTCAGTTGAAAAGTTGCTATCTGGAGTTGATGAAAGGGCTCAGCAGGTAAAAGTGCTTGCCACCAAGTCTGTCAGCCGGAATTTGGTCACCAGCATACGTGCATGCGGTGGAAAGAAGGAGCCAACCCCTTCGTACACCTGCCGTGGCACACCTGAACCCACACACGTAATGCACACACTGATACATAAATGTTAAATAATTGTAAGCTGTAACGAAAGCTGCCCCTGTTGATTGCTAGATGCTCTTCTACCTAACTGTCTATTCTTGAAGCAAATTTCTGGCAAGAATACCAAAACATCCAGTGGAGAAAGGATAGCATTACAATAAGTGAGACTGTAGTGACTGGACCTCCATAGGCCAAGAAAAAAAATAATTTTAACCTAAGCCTCATTATTTAAAAATTAATTCAAAGTGTACCATGGGTTTAAATGTATTACAAGAAACGTGGAAAACTTTATTAAAATATGAGGAGAAAATCTCTATGGCCTGACACAAATGATGAGTTCCCTAGGCTTAATCCCAGGAGCGTTATGAGATAAAATTGATACGATCACCGTCATCGAAACTGAAGCCTTAGCGAGTGAGAGGAGCTGTGAATAGCATATAGAGAAAATGTTTCCTTCCATACCGCTGTGGAGGGTTCAGTTCATAGTCAATGGGTCCTCTTGGTTTTCAGCCTGCGGCAAGGCCGTCCATCACAATGGAGACATGTCACCAAGCAAAACTGCTCATCAGCTGACCTTGAAGGGAAAAGAGAAAGTGTCCGGGGTCACAACGTTCTCCTCCAGGGACATGTCTCCAGGGGTCTGAACTCCTACACTAGGCACCACACCTCTAGGGATTTACATGCGGTCACACATTCTGACGTTTGTGGGGCACTCCCACCCCAGTAGTAGTAGAAACATGTAGATGACATTTGACCAAAGGAGAAAGATAGAGGAGAAATATATGCATGGAAAGATGTTGTGTATTATCCACCAAGGAAATGCAGAATTAAAACCACAGTGGCATATCATGGCATACCCATGAGGGTTCTAAAATAATGTACGGTAGCATCAAATACTGCCAAGACACAGAGGAGCTGCGGTAGTCACGCATTGTCTGTGTGGGCTGTACTTAATCGCTCATCAACACCAGGAGGTCGTTTGGCAGTTTGTTGTGAAACCAAATAGCAATGTGGCCTAGCATCCTTACTCCTGGGCATTTATCCCCCGGATGTGAAGACATCGTCCACCACAAGCCAGGATAGCTTTGTTGAAAAGAGGCCAGATAAACACTAGATAGAAACTTTTCAGTAAGTGACTAAATCATGCTGGATCCCAGGATACTGTGCAGAACCAAGATGAAAGGACTTGCTCGGGTCTCTAGGAATTCACGCCGAGCGGGACAAAAGCCAGTACCTAGAGCTCCCTCGCTGTGCTCTCCTGTTGGTGTCGTATTTGGGAAATAAGGAATTTGTAGGAATACAGACTAGGTGATACTTATTTGCCAGGCATGGGGGACCAGGCTCGGGCGTAGTAAGGACAGGATGGTAAAGGTGGCCGTAACAGCTGCAGTTGGCACCCTGGGTGGATGGAAATGCAAGTTTTGTCTGAATCAAAGCCAACATTCTGTCTTTGAAATTGCATCCCATCTTCACAAGATGCTGCTATTAGTGGAAACAATGAAGGATGCGTACCATAGGGTCTACATGTGTCATTTACAAAGATGATATCCAAATCTACAGTTACCTCAAAGATTACGTCACAAAAAATGAAGAAGAAGAAGAAGAAGAAGAGGAGGAGGAGGAGGAGGAGGAGGAGGAGGAGGAGGAGGAGGAGGAGGAGGAGGAGCTGTAGGCTGTTCTTGAATCGCTGTGATTGACTTGGACCTTTTGAATTCTCTCATCCCAACCTTCTAGACTTGGGATAGAAAAAATCGAATTGGGCAATTGACTTCTCCAGCTTCTTTTTACTGACTGGGAAAGAAATCGCCATTAGGTGGTGACGGTGACAGGGCGGTGGTGACAGGGTGGTGGTGATGGGTGACAGGGCAGTGGTAAACGGGTACCGTGTCGTTGTCATCACTGCCTCTCTCCTGCGGTGTGCTGCCATTTCCCAGCTAGGATGTTCTCTGGTGCTGTAGGTCACTGAGCATCCCGCTGGGTTGGGAACTATCTCAGCCTCTAGAGAGGCCGACTTACGTTCTTAAATTCTTGCTGTTGTCCGTGACTTTGGTCATAGTAAAGTGTGTGGGATATATCTATCTCATCGCGACTGCATGACTTGTCAGCGTTCACCGGGGATCCTGAAAGAACCCTCAGCTGTTGCCTTCTCTGTGTTTCAGCCGCAGCTCACCTGAATGCATTAAGACGCAGCACCAAAGGCTATATGAAGTTGGAGGAAACATAGGTGAGCATCTCCAACCACAGCTCTTCCTGCATCCCGTGATACATTGCTATTGGTGTAGGGGTGGGCTTCTCTCTCTCTCTCTCTCTCACTCTCTTTCTCTCTACACACACACACACATACACACACACACACACACACACACACACATACACACACACAAGGTTTCTGGGTAAAAGTTAGCAAGCGTCTGGCGGTTCTATAGTTCTGCATAAAAGCAGTTTCATGATTTTACTCCAATGTTCTCAAAATTGCCTGCCTGTTCCGTCTCACACCCCACGGTCATTCTGTCCTTCCGTTTCCTGCTGTGCACAGGTCAGAGACGATTCCTTGTGCCTTCGTCTGTGTCTGCTGTGGCCGGCGTGTTCCTGCATCCCCTTTTGTCTGTGGACGGTGCTCCCCTGACCTCCTCAGGGGCATCCTTTGTGCCCAGTTGAGGCCTTACTCTGCCTGTGTCTCCGTCTAACCTCTGCACCACAACCTTTTCCCTCCCTCCAACATTGTCCCTCCTAAAATGGGTTTCAAGACAGCAAGGAACCTTGGGGTGGTGACACAGGCTGCAGCGGGAGTGCTTTCGATTCTCACAGGATTATAAACGAAGCCTGGCTTCTCTTAGATGGAGGGGCATGCGGCCAGTGACAGTGACAGTGACAGGGCGGTGTCCAGCAGGCAGCCGCGCCAACACCACCTCCTGCCTCACGCAGTGCATAGCTACGCTGGCAATCTCAGCACTACAGAAATTAGATCTCTGGAGGGTGGTGAGTTGTGGGGCACCTGGGGAGAAATACGGTGAGCTTGTGTCCCAAATTTAAAAAATAAAAATAAAATCTACTTCTGTCCTCTTTAGAAAACTCCTGACGCCTTCGAGTTCACTCCCATGTCTTTGCCTTAGTAACTGCATGACTTGGGCTCTCCTGTCTGAACGCCCTTGTCTCCGTTTGCTGCCTGAGCTCCTGAGCTCCCCGCTGCTGTCATCCTTGGAAGGGTTGGTCTGTGCACAGGCCTTCCTGGATGAACGCAATTGTCTCACGCCTTTCAAGCCACCTGCCTGCTAATGTTTCTCAGACCGGCCTCCCAGGCGACCCTCTGGACCATGCACTTCTGGGTGTTTCTCATGGGCTGACTTCTCCTAGGATGCTCTTTTTTCAGGTTCTCTCCTCTCCTACTGGACTCTCCACGCCTTTGATGATGTGATGTCTTCCTACACCACGTGCCCTCTCTGCCTGGTTTTCCGCTAGTAATCCTATCATTAAGACCTACGTTCTTTTTTTTTTTTCTTTTTCAAAGATTTATTTATTTTATTATGAATATAACATCCTGCCTCCATGTATGTCTGCAGGCCAGAAGAGGGCACCAGATATCTCATTATGATTGGTTTTGAGCCACCATGTGGTTGCTGGGAGTTGAACTCAGGACCTCTGGAAGAGCAGTCAGTGCTCTTAACCTCTGAGCCATCTCTCCAGCCCCCAAGACCTACTTTCTATTGCATGCATTCACTTACCCATCTAAGCACCCACAGGAGAGGTTCTTGAGACTGGAACAGTGTCTGTTACTTCCATAGAAAGCAATAAAATGTCTATTCTTTTTTTCCCTTTTAAAAAAATTTTTGAGATTATAATGGCATCATCTCCCCATCCCTTTCCTCCCTCTAAACCCTTCCATAACACTTCTCCATGCTCTTTTTCAAATCCACGGCCTCCTCCTTTCACTAATTATCGTTAGATGAATATATGTGTATACAGATACCTACCTAACTATAACCTGCTCAGCCTGCATGCTCTTACTTGTATGTATATTTTCAGGGCTGCCCATTAGGTATTGGTTATTCAATTAATATGCTTTTCCCCGGGGAAAACTACTTCTCTCGATATCAGCATTGCTTAGGTGCCTGTGGTTGTGTAATGTTGAGGCCTTGAGGTCTTTCCCGTGAGATTCTCCTATCTAATTTGTTGGCCTTGTTCAGCCCAGGTTCAGGCCGTCGCATTGGTGAGACTTTATGGATGTAGCTTCCGGCATTCCTAGGAGACACAGTCTCATAAGAGACTCCATGATCCTCAGGCTCATACAAACTTTATGCCCTGTCTTCCACAATACTCTCTGAGGCTTAGGTGTGGGAGTTGTCCTGTTTTTGAGGGCCCGCTGGGGCTGGGCTCTACCACCGTGCATTTTGATTGGCTGGTGTTTTCTGTAATGGCCTTTATCTGATCTGTTGCAAAGAGAAGTTGCCTTGACGAGGGGTGAGGAGTACACTTACCTGTGGGTAGAAGAATAAATATTGAGTGAAGTTAGGGATTGCACTGGTTTAGTAAAGGGGTGGTGGTAGCTTTCCCTTCATGATCCATGATTTAACTAGTTCTAGGACGTCACTTAGGTTTCCAGCACCAGAAATGACTTACCCCTGGCTGGGCAGGGAGCTAGCTGTTGGTTACGGCTAAGACACGTGTGCCATGAATGCACCCTTAGGGTTATCATGCCACAGTAGTTGTCGTTTGTGGTCACTAATGGTGTTTTGATTTTTTTGTGTTGCTGTTTGCTTTCCAGTGCTATTTTGTGTTTTAATAAGTTTGGCTTCCTATTTCTTTGTGCACTGTCTCCACTAACTCCTCTCTATGCCTATAATTCAAAGGTTTGGGTTTTTTTTTCATAATGTCACACATTTCCTGTGTGTTCCTTTCCTGTGTTTTTAATTTTTCTTCATATCCCTTGCTTATTTGCTTTAGACCCTTTATCCTGGATTACAAGGGCACACTGCCACACCACCACACCACCACACTGGGCTTGCTCTTCCTCCCTCCCTTCCTCCCTCCCTTCCTCCCTTCCTTCCTTCCTTCCTCCCTCCCTCCCTTCCTCCCTTCCTCCCTTCCATGCAGACTCTGGGGACAGAGCTCCCAACCTCACACTTAGAAGGCAGCCGCTTCACCAGCCTGAGTTTTATGCTTTTCTCTTTCTTTCAGGACAGCACTGTTTGGATCCCGATGCATACATACTGGATGTGTATCACGTGAATCCCCATGCAGAATGGGTGATTAAGCCCTAATCAAGTCTTTAAAATATGCCCAAGATGGCACTTGCCCTGTATTATATGCCAAGAAGACCCCGCATTCATGGGGGAAACGACAGTGCCCCGAGGTATTTGCTCCCGCAATCCGGTCCTCCTGGGCAGGCCGTTACCACCGGCTCTGTCAGTATGGACCACAGAGGGCGAGCTGGTTCACACTGAGCCCGAACTTTGTCGCAGCTCCTTGGAAAGAAGGTGTGACCCAGGAGAGAGGCCGATGTTACTCACTGTGGAGCTGTGTAGCAGCAATAGACTTGGCCCCGTGCCTGGGAACCGGCAGCACTCCTGACGTGAAGCATGCGGTAGTTTTGCTCTGACTGCTCCCAGATTGGAAGGGCCTTCGGTCTGAAGACAGCTGAGTACCGCGCCGTTCTGCGCACCATGCTCTAGGAGGACTGGGTGGCGCCCTGGCGCAAAGGAGCCTCCCGTGTCCGCTGAGTGTTGAGGTGGCACTTCCTGGCTCCCTGTCTCATGACCACAGGTCCACATTGCAAGCCCCAGTTTGGCAAAGGGGCGTCCTGTGCTTCCAGAGTGTCCTTTGTGGTCCGCAGTCACGGCGACATCTCTCTTCTCTTCTCACAGCCGTGGTGCCCAGTGAATGAGCCACCTTTTGTGTGACAGCCTGGACGTCCTTTGCGGATCGGACACCTTTCCCTCCCTTTCCACCAACCGCCTGCTGTGGCCACTTCTGCAGCCTCCACTCAAAAGACACAGGAAATGCATTTTACCCCTCAGTGCTGAAAATGCCACTGGACCCAGAGTCCGTAAGTTGCAGATGTGCATTGTGCTTTTTGATCCATTATCAACCAGAGACGTGGTTAAGCCCCGTGGACTGGCGCTGGGCCGTGCAAGCTGGAGACCACCTCGCTGTCCGCGTCCTACACAGCTCTTGCCTAGATCTGCAGTGGGGAGCATTCAGTCCTCGTGTTTCTAAAACGAAACGAGGGACAGGGACACCCCTGCCTTCTAGAGACGGCAGATGAACTCCCCGTTTATTCCCGGTGGGCTTCATCTTCCACAGACCAAGGACTGGATGGACCTGCAGCAGCTTACGACCTTTAAGACCCAAGTGCCAGTACAAGCAAAACTGAATTGCAAATGCAACAAAAACAAAAACAACAAAAAAAAACCTGTTTCCTTCCCTGAATAGCCCGTGTCGGGAGGTACTGTAAATGTATGTACCGAAGAGATCTCGCGTGCCGTGTTATGCCTGATGCTGGTCAAACCATTCTTAACTCCCAACAGTCAGATCCCTTCCTGAAGAAGCAGAGTCCACCTGTGCATTCAACACGAGGACCAGTTTTATTTCAGACCTCCTCGAGTTTGCAATGCTTTCCTAGAAACACAAAAACCGGTTTGTCTGATCTATTAATGAATTTCTATTCCCTTTCCTCTGAAAAACCAAATATGCACGGTGGAGGTTTATGTGTGCCCCCCACCCCCGGGTTTGACCGGTTTCAAGGCTGCCCGGTGGGCCTGTGAGTGTGTGCAATGAGTACGTTGTCATCTTGTAGTGCAAGCGGTGAGGGCGCATATCCCTCTGTGCAGCTCCCTGATTCCAGGACATCCCTGGAGGAATACCTGCCTATGAATGGAAGCCATCCTTTTAGAGCATAGCCATGCTTCTGCAAATATGTGAACACGTTCCTGCGTTTCCTTGCATTGGGAGCGTCCAGCTCTTGCGTGTGTATGTAGAAACCGCACAGACCCATTCATTTATTTTTTTCTTTTGCGGAGTTCTCATTTCATTCATCTGAAAACATACTTGAGTCCATGCAGTAGTCTCCAGTCTCCAACGAGCAGCTCGTGGATGGCAGGTGACACACACAACAAGGCTCTACGTTTTGTCCCCACTGTGGCGGTGGCTTCAGATGCAAAGTCTAGGCCACGTCCGTAAGCTGAAGTCAATCGGTTTCAGTTTATTCAGGAACACGACAGCTCAAGGAGCTGCTTTTGCTGATTTCTATTTTGGAAGACTAAACCTTCAGTTAACTTTAAAGTGCCTGCCATCTAGGTATCGAAAGAACTTTGGCCTCATTGACAGCTGGTTTTCAACAGTTCCAGTGGCCCGCCTGTTAGAATAAGCGGGGCGGTTTGCCGACAAAGGAGAGGCCAGCCACGTGGAGAGTGACAATCTTATGGCTTCTTCCCACCCTCACGCATCAAGCACTCCCGATATGCAAGTAGGAAAACAATATCATTCGGGGACGCAGCCAAGGGCATGACCTGTAGGAACACACGCCCAAGAAGATTCCTATAAGTGCCTCGGTCCCCCACCGTTCTTCCTAAGAGTGCCCCTCTGCTATGCAGCTCAGCTGGGAGGTGATCCTTCCAGCCAGCAGTCTTTGGGTGAACTGGAATACCGATTCCTTACAATGTGTATGTGCAGTATCAACTACCTCACCAGCCTTTCTTGGGAAAAAAATATCAAACGGACTTTAACATTTATTTTGTTTGTTTGACTGTCCCTGGGTCTTTCTCAAGTTACTACAGTTTTCTTCTGGTGGATGTTTTGCTGATACGCCATTCTCGATATAAACTAGTCTTAGCAAAAGTGTTAAAACAAAACACCCTGGAAGTGTGCCCGGGGGGGTGTGCTCTGGGGGAGCCCTCATGTGTCCCTTCGTGATTGTCTTGTGCTTCTAACCACGTGGGGACACAGGCTGTCGGGAGCTGGTGTTTGTCTATTCTGGTGGGTGTTCCCCCTGCTGTCCCTGTATTTCCTCTGACTGAAAAGTAGGGAGATGGAGCGTCCCTCTTCTGAGCAAATGTGTGTTAGCTCTTTGTCGTGTGTGCGTCTGACTTGCCTGTGAAGACTGTACGTCGGGGGGATGCGACGTCGGGGGGTGCGAGGTCGGGGGTGCGACGTCGAGGGGATGCGACACTCCCCTTGACAGGCATTTTCAACTGTTTGCCATAAATGCGTCACTTAATAAAGAGTACTGTGACATGGGACTAAAGTGTTTCTTTCAAGCATGCCACTGTTTTACAGACTCTCATGTCATTTGAAAATGCCATCTTTCGAGCACCTCCTTTCTAAGAAAATTGTGTGGTTTAGGGGGAAAAATGGTTTATTCGTGGAAATTCCAATATTGTGTGCCTTCTCCTCAAAGTTAAAATACCGAGTCTCTTGTTCCATCTGCTCTCGTTAAACAGGATGTGGACATTGACTTTCATTTGTAAGAATAAGGAGAAAAACTAGAATTCCTCTTACAAGACTTCTTGCATCCCCATGCACAGTGGTGCCGGTAGGACTGGAGTTTGGAGGCTTGTGCCTGTGCCCAGCCCTGCCACCCTCCTGTCAGCCTAGTGAAGGGTGACGATGGGGATGGGATTATTGAAACAGCACTGACTACCTCAAGCCTTTGCTTGTGATAGCTTTTGTGTAGGCAGGATTTTAGTTACATATAACAAGATATATTTTAGACATGTGTGAAAATTTCCATAAATACAGAAATATTTTGATGAAGCTCAATAAATGTTATTTTGTTTTTTAAAAAAAATCAACCTTTTACTGTATAGCCTAGTCAAAAGGCAAAAGCAATAATAATAAAAAGGAGGAGAGTTGGGGGGGGGCTCGGCGGTTAAAGTGCCTGCTGTGCAAGCATGTGGATCTGAGTGTGTATCCCCAGCAACCAAGTGCAAAGCTGACACAGCATCACACATGCACACACACACACACACACACACACACACACACACACACATACAAAGTCAAAGACGAGGGTTCAGAGATCGAAGGTGCAGATCAACTGAACATGCTCCAGACTGAGAGGAAAAAAAGGATACATCTGCAAGTTTTATTTGACAGAGAACTAGTATTCCAGAAGCATAAAGAATCCTGCAATTGGCTGTCAGGACTCAGTGATGAAGGAGTTCTCTCCCAAGCCTGAGCTCCATTTCCAGGACCCGTGTGATGGAAGGAGAGAACCAGCACTCACAAGCTGTCCTCTGACCTCCACAAGTGCGCTATGGCACATCACACACACCACAGACACACACACACACACACACACACAGAGAGAGAGACAGAGAGACAGAGACAGAGAGAGAGAGTGCGCTATGGCACATCACACACACACCACAGACACAGACACACACACACACACACACACACAGAGACAGAGAGAGAGAGTGCGCTATGGCACATCACACACACCACAGACACACACACACACACAGAGAGAGAGACAGAGAGACAGAGACAGAGAGAGAGAGTGCGCTATGGCACATCACACACACACCACAGACACAGACACACACACACACACACACACACACACAGAGACAGAGAGAGAGAGTGCGCTATGGCACATCACACACACACCACAGACACAGACACACACACAGAGAGAGAGAGAGAGAGCGCGCTAAATAAATGCAATACAATTTTAAAAACTTGTTAAGAAACAAGCCAATTTCTTAACATGGGCTCAAGACGTTGACATACTCAAAGAGACACAACGTTTATGAATAGTAACACAAAACAAATTCAAGTCACCCTCATCGAAACTCCAGTGACATTTTCCACAAATACAGAAAAACAAGTCTAAAAATTCTCATAGCCGAAGCAATCTTTGTGCAGAATGAGCCATGCTGCCAGTACTGCAAAACCAATTTCAAGCCATGCGGTGGAACCCAAGTTAAATAAATAAACAAAAAATGCCAATGGTACTGGCACCAAAACAGACACATAGCGCTGAAGGACGCAGTAGAGGACCCAGAAATAAATCCACACAGTAATAGCTGCCTGAGTTTCAGCAAGGATGACAAGAATGTAGCTTGGAGAAAAGATGGCTTCTCCAACAAAGGCGGCGGAGAAAGTTGGATATCCACCTGGAGAGAAATGGAACTATCCTCTTACCTCTCAACTTGTTTTTAACAACAACAACAACAAAATAAAATGAACTAAAAATGGACCAAAGACCTTGCGTGTGGCGTGCACCTGTGAAAACACTGAGCCAGACGCAGGCAAATCTTCAAATACACGCAGACGAGGGGAATTCTGGGAAGAGCAGCAGCAGCTCGGGAAAACCAGAAGTGGGGCAGGGGGCATCAAACCGAAATTTTCCCACAATGCACAGCGCTAAGAGGACCGAAGAGACAGTCTGCGGAATGGCGGAGGATCTTTGCTACGTAGTCCCCTGAGAGGATTAGTTGATAACATGTAAAGGATTCGAGAAATCAACAAGTGGACATTTCAGCGAATTAAAGGGCAAGGGAATTGAGCCGACACTTCAAGAGATGAAGACCACAGGGTCAGTGTATTAGTTACTATTCTATTGTGATAAAACATCACTGCCAAGTCAACCTATAAAAGGAAGTATTACTTGGGCGTGTGGTTCCAGAGGGTTAGTGTCCATGGTAACAGGAGCGTCTGAGAACTTCCATATCAAACACAAGCAGGAGTAGAAGGAACACTGGGAATGGCAATCTGGGGAATGTGTGCCACACTCGGTGCTCAGTGATCTTCACGTAAGATTAAGATCCATGCGTTCCCTCACAGGTTAGCATGACTGACCTCTGGTGAAGGTGGGACACTCTGCAATAGCATCGACATTCAACCACGGGAAATAGCCTGTGTGCTAAGACGCTTGGGGGGAAGTGTACTGGGGTTGCAGGTTTTTTTTAACAATGTATTTTAAAACCTGCCTGATAGCTGCGATAGGAGATAAATAGACAGGTAGGCGCCAGTCCAAACATCCAAAGGTAATAAAGTGTTCAGTCATATTCCCAGCGCCGACAGGGTTAATAGGATCCCAAAACTGCGCTTTGCCCGGTGTTTTGACCAGCTTCTCTGCGGTGTTTCGCTGTGTTTGTGAACTTGGACCTGACAGTTATTCATTTTTGGGGGTGGCTCTGCCACTTCATGACATTTTACCCTGTGTGTGCAGCCTGCCCTGGGGTGTGGTCTTTGTGTCTAGGTCTGTCGTCCTCAAACTTCCCTCACCACATAGCGCTCCCCACTACCCCAGGTTCCAATCAAATCACATAGAGTCTGTGCCATGTCCCAGCTTCACAAGGGGTAAGGGTCCCGTGATGCCCATTTTAGACACCCTTATTTGAAGAAGTTTAGAAATGTTCAGACTTCAGAGTGTCTGTTAGCATTCAGGCGTCTGTACTGGCCTGTCCTTGGGGTTCTGATGGGCTGCACCCTCAGCTGCAGCCACTAAGAGCACCACCTGTGCACAGGAAGCCATTCTCCCTTCCCTTCTCCCCTTTTTATGATCCCTTTCCATAATAAAAAAAAGCCCCTCTGCTTGAACCCTGTCCCATGGAGTCTTTCTCCCGTGCTCTGCTTTTCTTAAGTTACACAGTGCCCCCTTCAACACAGCACTGTACAGGGTATCTTGATTATTTTCTGGTTGTGTATGAAATGATGCAGGGGTGTCGATGTGCTCTTGAAGGAACAAGGGGAAGCAATGCACTCAGAGCGGGAATCAGGAATTATTCTAGGTCTTTCCGTGGTCTGTAGACCCAGACCCCCAGGCCATTACACAAGTTCTAACTTTTCCAATTGAAGGGCTGTATCTCTAGGCCAAAAATCCATCCCAATCACATTGAAAACTCACCTTCTGTTATAGCTACTTTATGTTTTTAGTGCAAGTCGATCCTTGGAATCCCTTGGAGTACTCTCATCATTCACCTTCATCTGGTAACTCTGGGTTAAGATTTGCCACAGCAGCTACAGTAGCCAGGCAATAACAGGGACGCACTGGATTTATTTGGAACCTTTCCTGTTACTTCATTCCCGATTGACACGGGATGTTTAAAATAATGTTCATTTGTGTACATGTGCATTGTGTGATGTTAAGAATAATTAATGTATTCATAGCGTAAAGCAAGAGTTTCTTTGGGTTAAAGACATTCACACTCAATTCTAGCATTTTGAAATCTGCATCCTTAATTCCTCCTAATCCTACTTTAGTTCCTATAGACAAGCACCATAACTCCTTCTCCCTTGTTTTCCAGGCCGCAACTCTCTTCTAGGGTTTATTAACATTCTATACACAGGTGAGATCCTGGTACATGGACATGGATGGGCTTCATCTTCAACAGCTCTTTTAATGATGCTGTGCTTCCCAGTACGTGTCACTAGAGGGCAGCAGAGGATACCGATTCGAAGCCGAATCAACATCGAAGTTGATTTTCCTGGGTCACCTGGCAGAATCCCTGGCCCAGCTATAGGCAGCAGTGGCTCTTCTAACACTCCTTACCCTCAGAGCAACATGCCCACCCTCTTTGCCCAGGACAGAGACTGCCAGTTCAGAAAAAGTCAGACTAGTGGAAGTCAGGGCTTGATGTAGAAACCCTGTCTCAAAAAACAAAACAAACAACAACATAAAAAGCCAAGCTATGACCAGAATAAGCTTCCCTGTATTTATTTGGGAGCTTGGTGGTGGCCCCTCAAAAATCCAAAAGAGTAAATAACTTCTAGATCACAGGGGAAAAGCCACTTCTGATGGGGGAAGGGTAATGTCAGTGCCTGGAGGCCTTGCACATTCCATCACTATCTTACACTGGACACCCCAGGAAACAAGGGAAGTGACTCCTTTGGGCCTGGGAACCTGAAGTCCCAAACACGGGTCAAGGACACATAACCCTGGCTTTTTGTTTGTTTGTTTGCCATGTGCTGGTTTCCGCAAGCTGTTGAGGTTTAGCTGGGAGGAGAATTGGGCCAAGATGACCCTGAGGATTCCTAGACACTGAGGACATTATTACAATAGTTACTAACAGCCTGGTGGGGGCTCCAAGGAGAGTCCCAGGGACAAGCTGCACGCAGTATCATTGAAGAGTCAGAGCCTATGCGGTAAAGGATGAAGTCTGAGACTCCTTAGGATGGGGCAAGGTTTACAGCAAGAGCCTGCAACCAAGCAGTTCCCAGGAAGGAGACAAGGGAGCCGTGGGGAGTGGGGTGTGCCTGGTGCCGACACCTTAAGTCAGTTCTCTTTGAT